AAGAATTGCAAACTTTCCACTGGATTTAACAATCTGAAGGTTGAAACTGATTTCAGCAAGAGCTACCTCTATGAAGTAATGGGTACAAAAGTCAGATTGCACCAGATTGAGGTAAAATGAACTACAGGGAAGAGAGTTTTATTTCTTGTTTAATTGTGTTTTTATTTTGTTTTTGCTGTGTTTAAACAGAAAGGAGCATGAGTAGATAGTTGAACATACAGAAAAAAAGAAGAATCAGTATAGCAAAACTTCCATAGAGGTAAAAGGGAATGAGATCTAAGTATACATGCTGCTTGATTTATAGTGGAGTTATATCCTCATAAACCCATTGAAGTTGAAAACGTCATTAAGGTGAAAATTCATTTACTACTCCTATCCTACCAAACATCATAGCTTAACAAGAAAATCCATTATATAGTATGGGTTGTTTCCCCTCGAGATAGTGTGGCTCATTGGGAACTGTAGCCAGCTGCCGCTGCCTGATATCACATATCCTTAGCCTAGGAAAAGATAAAAATTCCAAATACAGTTTTTACTGAATGCATGTTACTTTTGTACCATCATAGAGTCGAAAATCATGAGTGAGACCATCTATTGTAGGCGAGACTATGCTTTCGTAAGAGGGTCACTTCCTTTAAGACAGAGAAGAAAAAAAGAACTTTTTGGTTTGGATTTTTAGAGTTGGGCAGGTTGATGACTTCTGTTTTCCTTGTGATAGGAAGCAAGCTCATCTGCTTAGACTAAGGATAGTAGAGGGTCTTAGTTTAGAGGAGTATGGGAAAAAATATTATTTTGGTCTACAGGAGAGAAGTATTGCCTACAAAATTGAATAGAAGTGGTGGGGAGTGTTGAAGATCAATTTGAGATGGTGACTCTTACACTTTAGGCATGGAAGTCCCCCAGAGGCTCACAAAGTGAATGCTGGGTGTCCAAAGCAGCAGTGTTCAGAAGTGGGGTCATTTAGAAGTAATTGGATCATGAGAGCTTTGACCTCAGCAGATTTATCCAGTGATGAGTTCGTAGCTTAATGGGCTAATCAAGAGTTGAGGATTTAGTTGGAGTTAGTAGTTTGCTGGGAACATGACTCTGAAAGGTTTATTTTGTCCCTGAACCCTTCCTCTGTCTCTCTTTTCTCCCATTCTTTGCTACCTGGCTGCCATGATATGACTGGCCTCCTCCACCAAGCATTCCTACAGCCATGATGTTCTGCCTGACCTCAGGCCCAAAGAAATGGTGTCAACTGATCTTGACAAAATAACCTCTGAAACCATGAGTCAAAATAACCTTTTTCTCCTTTAAGTTGACTTTCTCAGATATTTTTTCACAGCAGTGGAAAGATAACTAAGGTAATGACCATGAGTTTGTAGTGAAATCAGTCCTACTGTATTCTCTGTGGCTTTCTCCAGCAGTCAACAGCTGGATGAACCATAAGAAAAACAGACAGTGTGTTGAGTTCAACCAGTGCTGGAGTTTTACATGCAGATGAAAAGACAAAGGGGCTTATAGAATTATCAAGAACATTATTGAAATGGTGGAGCTGTGCTTAACTGGGAAATAAAGGAAGATGAGGCTGACTGGGAAAGGAAGAGGCAGCTTCCTGGAGATGCTGGCAGCACTGAAGAATACTGGTGGTTGGGATGATTAAGGAAATTAAAAGAATAAGTAGTTTATGGTCAAAGAGCAGAATGCTTCAATTAATTATTTTAGAATTAGGCCACTGGAATATTGACAGATTACAGGGTATGACTGTAGGAGTGACTAAGACAGAATGGAGGGCCACAGCAACTGACAGGGGAGTGTGTCACTTTTTGATAGGCTATCTCTGGATACATTAAAACTACCTAGAATGATCACAATACTTGGGGTTAAGAAAAAAAACATTGCCTAGTGGCAACTCCCTAATGAATGATAGAAACTTACCAGCATGTCAGGAGATAATAATGAGGCAGATGAGAGAAATGATAGTCTGGCAATGACAAAATAGCAAGAATGAGGTAAGCAATCCTGCGTGGAACTGTGGTTAACAACAGTGTATTGTATACTTGAAACTGAAAATTTTAGGGCTGGTGGAGTGGCACAAGCTGTAAGAATGCCTAGCCTAGCAAGCATGAGGCCCTGAGTTCAAACCCCAGTGCCACCAAAAAAAAAAAAAGAAAATTTTAGGTGTTCTCACCACAAATAACTGATAAGTATGTAGGTAACGCAAAAATGAAAAAAGAAAGAAAGAAAAAGAGAAATATGTGGAGCACAGCATATAAGAACAAAAGCCAACATTGAGGAATATAGAAGTGGTCACTTCAGGGAACAGTGAGATTTGAGAATACTCTATGAAAGATAAAATGGATTTGCTGATTATGACGCAACTTTTCTCAAAGACACAGTGGAAGGGTTGGAAAGTGGAAGAAAAATGGAGAGCAGCCTCAGTTGCCAGGAAGTACACTGCATAATGGAGCTATTGAGCTGCAAAAGACAGATAGGGCAGAGGGTTCTGGGGCTTAGGCTTTGGATTTCCAGATGACAACAGGTCACATCTAGTCCTTAAGAAGGTGAGTACTGAGGCGTGACAACAAGGAGTGGCTCACTCAGCCTGAGGTGAAATCTCCCTAGAGCTTTGTCTAAAGAGTGACCAGCCAGTAACTAAACTGCCTTCTGAGATTACCTCCAGCAGGAATTTATTGATTGATCTGTTTTGGGGGAAAAAATAGGTAACATCAGATTCAGCGTGAATCAGTGATTTATCCAAGGAGAAAAACCTGCTTGAATATGAAGATACAATGCAGGAAAAGTGGTTCTTAGTCCATTTGTCTTAAGAAGTTAAAGCGTGTTTCTCTCGTTTGTCTACTTGCAAGAAATCATTTCACTAAGAAATCATGTTTAAGTTAAATGGGCATTTATTTGCTGAAAAAATAATTGTCCTAAATCAAAGACTAATCCTGATGATTGTTCAATATAGATCCCATTCTTGGCTAGTTCCCTTCTTAAAACTGTCCTACAGCCTATCCAAAACACAACAATTAGTGTCATAAGAACCAACATGTCTGGATTTAAGAAAACCTGCTCTTAAACTAGAAAGACCTAAAATATAAAGGGTAACTACTTACAAAAATATCTTATGAGAGAATTCTTCTCATAAATAGCCTACTTAAATCATTTGTTTACAATGTGATTTAATGTATTGATTGAGTCATTCAGCAATTATTTAATTGAATGCTAAATAGTGGCAGAGAATCCAGTGGTGAATGAGCACACCAGGTCCCTCCTGGTGGAGCTTATGTTCTAAATTACCCAAAGAGCAAATGAGAAAACAGCCAAGCAAATGAACAGAAAATGTTGGCACAAAATTAATGATAGATTAGTTTAACATAGAACACCTGAGGCTATTATAGCTCGCATACCCAGGGAAGGCCTTTTTTAGGAGCAATAATTAAGCTTACATTTTATTGACAAAAGCAGAATTTTATTCTCTCTCTCCCCTCCCTCCCTCCCTTCCTCTCCCCTCCTTGCTCTCTCTCTGTGCTAAGGATTGAACTCAGAGCCTCAACATGCTTAGCACATAGTGTACCAATTACCTATGCCCCATGCTTTCTGCTTTTTAAGAAACATCCTCTGTGTTGTTTTTCTCAGCTTTTTGTAGCTATAACACTTTAGTCACTTAAAGAGGTTCTTAGCAAGCCAAAGTGTCCCCTTGAACCCACAGACTGCATCTCCTTGGCTAAGTTTTGATGAGCATAAAGGAAATGCCAGTGCTGGCACAGCAGCCTTACATGCTGGAGAGAACAACATTCTAACAAAAAGTTTCTGTTTCCCTGAATATTTTCACAAAGCTGGCATTTCTTTCCAATAATGAAGTCCAGAAATGAAGTCTCATTGCCTTGATTTCTCTACATTTACCCGTGATCTATAAGAATTTCCCTACTGGTAGAGAAGCAGTTCCAAAATCATGTCTATTGTGTGACTGGAATCTATTGAAATGGCTTGCTAGCTGTCTATGGAATTTAGGAAAGTTTTGTCTTAAGATTCTCTCATATATTCTCTGCCTTTACCAAGACCTCCTGACATCATCTTTCCAAATAACTTCTAAATAGCCTGTTTCTAACAACTTTAGTTTACTGTTACAAGTTTTGCTCTTGAGGAGAGGGTTGGGAGACAGGGTCTCCCCGTGTTGATCAGGATGGGCTTGAGTTCATGAACCTCCAGCCTCAGCCTCCAGAGAAGCTGGGATTTTAGGCATGAGCCACCACACCCTGCTTACAAGTTGTACTTTTACTAATGACTGTCATCCAGATGATTCCAAAATTTAAGAAGTTCCTAGATTGATATATTGTGGACACTAAAGCCGCTAGAAACTCAAATTTTATTTACTGAAATGTAATGCTCTTGACTCGAGTAGCACCTTATATTTTGAATTCAGAATATCCTTACATATTTCTTGTTTAAAATAATAAAAGTATTGTCAGCCTAAACAAAACATCAGTGGATCAGAGAGACATTCTTGAAAGAATACCAATTTTTATTTGGGAATAGCAGAGCACTGAAATGAGAATATGACTGCCTTAATAAATTACAGGCATATTTGAAGAGATTGAGACAAGAGCGGGTCTTTAAAGAAAAAAATGAGGATTACATCACTTGTTCTGAAACAATAATCCTTACCAATATATGACTGATATGAGAGTTGTGGTAGTCCAAGTTTGAAGAGTTATTTGTAAAAGTACTTTTTGTATCAGGTTATGTGACCTCAGTGTAATCTGTAGTTCTGACAGTCTTTGGTGATAGTTATTATCAGACTGCCATATGTAAGATTCCCTTCTTTTATAACCTTCCAGCTTTATTTACTTTTTTTTATTAGGGTTGACACAAGCAACTCCATTTTGATTGTGACACCTTTCATATTTCTTTCACAGTATATGTTTTAATAAGATAAGGACAAAAAAACTTTGTTGGCATAAAAAGCAAATAATTGAAAAGGCAAGGAGGAAGGAGGGAGAGAAGGAAGAAGGAGGGAGAGAAGCAAGGAAGAAGGAAACTAGTTCTAAAAACTGTATGTTCATATTTTATACAAGTCTGTGGTCTATCAGCTAGCTCTATCATAGTATGTAACTATCATATATTTACTCCCTTTTTCAATTTTTCTTTTCTCCTGTAGCATGTTTTTGATCCAGAGGAGACTCTGTTCCCTTGGCAGTAGAGCAAAATTTCTAAAGACAATTTATTCTTCAAAAATCCTTGGATTCTCTACTTCTGCTGTAGGTATTGTTTATCGTATACAGACAGATTATTATACATATTCTGTATTCTGTAAGATGAAAAAGATGGAACTTTTCAGGTTTGGGTTTTTTTTTTTCCCGTGCTGAGAATTGAGCCCAGGGTGTTGTGCATGCTAGGCAAGTACTATGCCACTGAGCTATATCCCCAGCCCTTGATTTTTTTGAGACAAGGTCTTGTTATATAGCTCAGACTGTCCTTGAACTCGCTATATAACCAAGCCCGGCCTGAAACTTGTAAACCTGCCTCAGCTGGGATTACATATGTATACAACCACATCTGGCTTTCCAGTACCTTTAATAAGTATTTTATTGGAATGAGTGTCTTGATTATATAAGCCAAGGATGTTTTTTATCATTGACCAGAGCTGACATTCACTGAGCAACTGCTTGCCTGTCTATGGATCACAAAGTTTGTTGTGTATACTTTATATATGATTTTTTTTCTTAACTTATGGCTTGTGGTTGCAAGGCAAACACTCTACCACTTTAGCCACTCACCCATCCCTTTTTGCTTTGATTATTTTTCAGATGGGGTCTTTCACTTTTGCTTGAGGTTAGCCTCAGACATGATCCTCCTACCTCTACCTTCCAAGTAGCTGGGATCTGAGAGTTTATAAATAAGAATGTGCAGCCTGAGATCAGGTTGCCCAAGGTCATAATCCCACAGCCAAATCTGCCATAGTAAAGTGCAGATTCTCTGATCTTCTGATTGTAGGAAATATGGCCAGAAGAGGAGCAGGTGAAATGTAATCACAGAAAAGCAAACAAACAAATCCAGAATGTGTGTCATGTTCTGAATACCTCAGGATGGATAACTGATCCAGTTTCTTCTGTGAGTTAAAGTCAGGGAAACAAGTAGCAGCAGGGAGTTGGAGGGACTGCTCTGCCATAAAAAGTGGTTTAAGACCCATAACCACCAAATATGCTGCATAGACCTCATTTAGGAACTTGCCATTCTACCCAAATGCTGTCAAAGGACAAATCTGCAATAACTTAATTTAAGGATCTTAAATGGTATATTTTGTTATCCCAGAGTTGGGTGACTCTTACTTCCATGGAGTAAGTGTTCCAGCAGGCTTAGGAGAAGAGGTTGGTCTTATACAGAAAAGGATTTAAGAATGCAGAAACAGGACACAAAAAATAGACTAGTTGTTTTCAAAGTTACATTCCTAGTGAGAGGCTGAGGAGAAAGAGGAAAAAGGGAGTTGAGGATAGAAAAATAGCTAGTTGGGCCAAACATAGTGGTACACTGTGTATGTTGGGATTATAGAATCCCAACTATTCAGGAGGCAGAGACAGGAGAATCATGGTTCGAGGGCAGCCTAGGCAAAGTTAGTTAGATCCTGTCTCAAAACACCAGCCAGATGTGATGGTACATACCTGTAATCCCAGCCACAGAGGACACAGAAGGAGGATCATTGTCTGAAGTCAACCTGGGCTAAAACACAAGACCCTATCTGAAAAACAAACTAAAGCAAAAAGGGTTTGGGGGAGGTGTAGCTCAAGTGACAGAATGCTTGCCTGGCAAGCTCAATCTCCAATACCATCAAAATTATTAATTAATTGATTAATTAAAAATAAAAAATAGCTAATTGGTTTATATCGGTTATCTTTTAAGTGACAGGATTAAGGTCAAAGGAACTTCATTATCATGTTAATTGGAACTGGCTTATTTGGGAAACTTGGCTATTAACTCATCCTTATTTTTTGGAAAGTAGGCTAAGTTTCAGCTTGGTGTTTATTGTGGATCTTTAGCATGAGTGACTCCATTTTGATTATTAGCCTGGTCTGTTGGGGAGCTTAGACTAAAACAATGACCTGTAATTTTTGTTTAACAATATAAAAAATAACATACTGTTTATAGAAAGAGAAAGATGAATGTGGCCTGGGTATAAGATGATGGAAGAAAATTATTGTTGATTAAACATAGCAATGCCATTGCAGTTATAAAAAAAAATGTCATTATTTTCAGAGATATCTGCCAAGTATACAGGGGTATAATGAATAAAGGCTAGGATTTGCTTTAAAATTACTCAGCAATTAAAGAAAAGAAAAAAGGAAAGATAAACAAGGGAGACAAAATGTTGATAATTACTAAATCTGGGTGATGTATATATGAGTGTTTTATATTAGGTAAAAATAGAAAAAAATCATCACTTTTAAAAGTCAAAAATGGTAGAATATTGCAGTTCTGAGTCATTCAAACTAATTCTAATCTCTCAAATTTTGTATAGGCTTAAGATGTTCATAGAAGCTATCATCAGTGTCTGCATGTATATATCATGAACTCTGCTTCATAAGCATCTTGAATTCTCCCTCTCCTCTTTTTTGCCACCACAGCTACCTGGTTAGCGCCAAGCCTCTCCCACTCATGGAAGCTGGTTGAAGCCACGGGAGTGACTGATCACCTAACGTGATCATATAAAACTATGGTACTAAAGAGAGAGAGACAGATATGGGCAAATAAAAAAGTAGACAGTATTTTAAGAGCAGTAGCGATGAGTTTACAAGACTATTTACTGTAAAACTGTCTTTACTAGAAAATTCTATTTATCTATACCATCCTTTTTTAGAAAAAATTTTTCTAAAAGTCTTTTTTTTCTTTTTACTTTTTTTTACTATTATTATTGCTGTACTGGGGATACATTATGACATTTACCAAAGTTCTTATAATGAATTATAGTTGAATTCTCCTCTATCCTCCATCCCCCCATTCCTGAAACAGTTTCAACAGCTCTCATTTTTCCATTTTCAAACCTGAGTACATAGTATTTCTACCATATTCACCCTCCTACACCTTTTCCTTGTATCCTACCCCTTCCCCCTGGTACCAGACTCCCATTGAAAACTTGCTATGTTTGTCTCTGAGGAAAGGAATAGAATGTGGGGTGGGCTACACCTCTGTTTCATTACTTTTTTTTTTAATGAAAACATCTTATTTATTATTTCTGTTATCTTAAGTGAATAATGTTTTGTATACTAAAGAAAAAAATACTGTTTATATAGCAAAAAGAGCAAATAAGAGGAATGTAGATGAAAATCACTCTCCATCCCCTATTTTAGCACCTAGATCTTAAAGGCCTAGAAATTGAAAGAAAGAGCCTGGCAGGGTAGAGCACCCCTATAGATCCAGCTACTCCAGGTGGCCGAGACAGAATGATCTCTTGAGATTAGGAGTTTAGGGCCACCTTAGGTAACATGAACCCCCATCTCAAAGAAAGCAAGGAAGGAAAAGGGAGGGAGGGAGGGAATGACAACATAAAATAATAACTCTACTTTGGAGGGAAAAAAATAGTTTATTCTGAATCATGAATGAGTGACCATGGCCTGGGAACATGGATTCAAGTTACTCTGTGAAGAGGTTGCATGACCTTTGTAGTCATAGAACAAAATACATTGGTAGAGTCATCCTGTAGCCAGGCTACAAAAATCTCAGGAAACCTGACCTTGGTAGGATTTGATAGGATTCAGATGTTAACTATGGCATTCTTAACTTTACAGTTGGTGGATGCTAGAGGTCTTGTCAGGCTTTGAAGTACATTCCAAGAGTTTCATCTAGTAATCACAAGGATGTTAGGTCAGACACAGAGGATGATAGTGAAATGGCTGTTAATGGGACATAGCCCATGGTAACTTTGGCTCTCTTGAACGCAACATTCCATCTCTCCACAGTCACAATGTTTTAGTCAGCCAAGGTCAAACGGTATGCAGGGTCTTGAAAACAGGTGTGGATTCTTCAGAGAAATTTGGCTCACAAATGAAATTGGAAGGTTAAACTTATCCTCTGGTGCCAGAAAGCCAGAAAACGTATTTTGATAGGCATATGATTAATAGATAGATCAATTGGGGGGGAGGGGAAGCAAGGAAGATTCAACAAATTTGATGAGCTTATGAAAGATTTTTTTTAGGATAGTCAATAAATTAATAGAAAGATAGAAAAGTAAATGGACTGAAAATTGCTGCCGGAATGACTAAACCTTAAATGATTAGTCTAACAAAGGGTGATATTTTGATGGTGGGGAATTTAGGTGTTGAAGGGATTTGTGGATATGCTCTCTACATGCTACACAATTTTGCTGTGAACCTAAAATTGCTCCAAAAAATAACATCTAGTATTTTGCTTTAAAAAGGAGACTTCAAAAAATTTAAATGCTTGCCATAGAAGCACAAAAACATCATTGATTTTATATCAAGAAGACATTTTTCCTTCTCCTTTAATTTGTTCCTCCCAAAAGAAATCAGCTGTCTTTTTTTATGTGAAAACAGTATTTGTATAAATTCAGTTCATACCCAACACCTCCATGCCTACCCAACACCTCCATGCCCCTTTGGTGTAATGTTCGTCATCTTACTTGTATCTGCAAGAATCTTTCATGCTTTCTGAGTGTGCACTAGTTTTCTTACATATATGTCAAGAGCTGTGTTTTTCCTGCATGATTTGCCTCACCTGATCCTCACAGCATTTACATTGAGGCAGGCATTTGTTTTCATTTTTAACAAATGAGGAAACTGAATTTCAGAGAAGTCAAGCATTTGCCTACTTCACATGCTAGTTTTGATGTAGAATTTGGAACTAAGATCTATGTACTTCAGAGCTAAATAACCTTGGAAATTTTAATTAAAACGGAGGTGTATTTTACAAGGCACCAAGCATGGCTTATCTGGGAGGAATTGCACAAGCTTGCCCAAATCAAATTTACCTCTCTTCCAGGTTTTTTCCAGCAAAAAATAACCTGTCTGTCAGCCTCAAAGTCCACACCTCCAGGAATTGTCCTGATTGATTTGGTCAGATTGTCCAACCCTAATCCAATTCACTGTGCTTGGTGGGTGGGAATAGAATAACAGTCTGGAAAGGAAAACTGGTGCAGTCTTGTACATATAAGGTGAGGGGGTGATACTCAAACACTCCTTTGCTCATGCTTTGCTTGGACCCATTTTGTTTTTGTTTTTTTGAGACAAGCCTCTCATCCTGCCTCAGCCTCTCTAGTGCTGGGATTACAGGCATGCACCACCCAATTTTTCAAGTGAATATATCAAATTTTCTTCTTGGCTTACTTAACTGTTCTTTCCTCCTCCCCCCCTTTATCTTTATTAGGATGTACTCATTGTACAGGGGGCATTCATTGTGACAATTCCAAATAGGCTTACATCGTACATTAGTTAGATTACCCTCACCATCTTCCCCCCTTGACTCCTCCCTGCCCCACTTAAAGCAATTTCAAGAGGGGTCATTGTGCTATTTTGTATATGTATATGAAGCCCATCAACCATATTCCCTCACCTTCATCTCCTTCATTCACTCTCCCCCCTTCCCCATTACCCTCCCCCCAACACACACACTGAACCTCTTTCACAGTCCTGTCTTCTGTTATTAATTCCAAAGTCAGTGTTGGAGGGTTTCTTGATGAATCAACACTGTGAGTGCACTTCACTTTGGTCAGTTCAGCCCTTCCATTACTCTCCCTCACCCTTCCCTCCCATCCCCCATTATTCAGTACATGTCTTAACTGTTCATTTTTCCTGTCTTTTCAGTTATATGTTTACCTCTGCTGTCACCTCTGGGGTTTAGAGAAACCCTTCTTCCCACTAGCCTGTTTCTCTAAAAGTTTTGTTAAAAGATGAGGTTTTTTTTCAAAGGGTTAAGTCATGATTCATGCAAACATGAAAATGAACATGTGTTAAGGTTTTTTATTTTGCTGAAATGATACAAGCGCTGAGACAGAAGTTATGATAAGTTCGAAGGAAAAATCAAAAAGCACAAATTTATATGTAGTAAAGGAATTGAATTGCAAATTGAAAGCAAAACTGGTTTTTCCACAGGTTGAAGTCAGTCAAAACTCCACAAGCAGTTTGTATGCCTGTTTACCTTCAATTTAGAAAGGTGCAAAGTCGCTCAAAGGCAAACTTCAGCCCTGGTAAAATGAGCCCGCTAAGGATGTGCATGGTTTTCCATGGAAGTATAAATTTTTTTCTATGTATATTATCTTCTAAGGAGGCCATATTCCTTCCCTTTCGCTCATTTATTCAGTCAACAGATGCTAAATAGCTACATCATCCTGCAGAAATAATTCTTTATCAAAAAAAAAAACAACTAAATATGAGTTACTTAAAAAGTTGCAGTTTAACACCTTTGGTTTATTATAATTGACTTTGTATTTGTATATCCTTAAGTCCTCCTCCCCTACTTTGCATTTCCACTCAGTCCTCCCTCCCACCATTGCAGGAACATTCTGTTATTTTGTGCTATGACATCTAGTGGCAAAAGAAAGTAATTCATCTGTTTGTTTTTAATGTACAGTCATACTGTGGACGCATCTAAAATCTACAAGGTAATTTTGTTAAGTCTGCTTGCTTGAGCACTTCATCCAGAGGGAGAAGAGGGCATGAATTCAGAATGCCCTGGCAACTATTTAAAATCTGCCTATCAAAATACAATAAATTGCATCCATTAGAATTACAACTGAATGATCATTTGATAGAGGTACCATAAAATCCCTGCCACAGTCAGCATAGAGTACACATTGCACATAGCTTTGCTGTTTCTATTTCAGGCCTTTTCTTGCTCTTTATTTATTACAGTTACTTACTTTTTGATGTGACATTTGCTTCTCTGTGTAAATACTTGAAGCATAGCCCCTAGTATACAGATGTCAACACTCTTGATTTCCCCAACTTCAGCCCCTACTTGGAAAGACTTTTCCACATCTGAGCCATCCCACAACCTATCTGCATCAGATATTACTGGCAATTCAAACTTTGGTGTACTAGGGTCTTATGAGTTATTTCATCTTTCCAAACTTTCCTTGTTCTAGCACCTTTATAGTTAACAATTTAAGATCGAATAAGCTTTTCCTTATCTTTGCCAAATGTGCCACCTTGTGGTGAAGCTACAGAACTGTATTCCTCAGCTTCAAGCTAACAAAAGATTCAGCTGTTTATGATTTCTGCATCAATGATCGAGTAATACAGTATATAACTATGTCAGCCTTATAATTAACCTCATAGCAAAAGTCTCCTCACTTGGTTACCTGCATCCAAAAAGTATATGAGCCTTATAGATGTTCCCTTGTGTACCCTGGTACTCACCACCCAATGTAATGTCAATTCTTTCCTGCATCTCCAGCCTGTGGCTGGCTCTGCATAGTTAAGACTTGGCAGCTCCCACAATTCCATGAACCAATTCCTTAAAAATAAATCTCACACAACCTATTGGTTGTGTTCCTCTCAAGAACCCTAATACTGACACACATGAATAAACAAACTATTCTCACAGTCTAGGGCAAATAGAGATAAACAAACAACAACAAAAAAAAACAGTAATGTATAGAAGAAGTGCTAGAAAATACAACATTTAGAGGGAGCACATAGGAGTATCTGACCTTGACTTGGGGAATCAGAGAAGGCCCTCCACAGGGAATGAAACCTAACTTGAAAACTGAAGGTGGCAGATGGAGTAAGTGTTAGCCAAGTGTAGGGGCAGTGTGGATGGGACTTCAGACAGAGTTGAGCAGAAACGTGTGTTCTCAGCAGAGGCATTGTCACCCCTAAGGAAGAGAAAATGAGAGGTTGGCAGGCAAAATAAATCTTAGCTCTTGCAGAGCCCTGTGACCATCCAAAGCTCAGCCTTATCTGACAAAAATTGAGAAGAGGGGAAATGATTAAGAAAAAAGTATCCAAAGAGGTTGAGAAACATTGGTTGGTATAGAAAGATTTGAACAGAGGAAAAATTACATACAGAAATGAAAAAGCACATACACAATTTAACAGAGGGGAATGGTTGAGGCGTGGAATTGGGGTGAAGGGGGAAGCAGGGGCAGCAAAGAGAGAAAAGGCTGGTCTAGATACAAACTTTAAAGAAAATTAAATCTAAAAGTGCATTTAACCTCAATTATCTAAATTTTAAGTACAGTTGTACCTGGTGTCTAAATTATGTACTGCACACCAGGCTGACTTTTTCATATATGAACCTGTACTTTGTGGTTGTGGTCACACTGAATGAATCACGAAGCTCACAACATTGTTTCAGAGACAGCAACTGGCATTTGTTAAAATATCTTTTTCTCCCTATAATGCTGGGTTTTTTAGTTTTAGAATTATATTCTCTACAGTAGCATCATGTTCAGGTGGGACTTACATACTATTCTAGAAGGTACTTTAGCCTCTGGAGAATTTGCATGTGATTCACTTCACTGGTATTTCAAAAATTAAAACTAGGAGACTGAAGAGTATTTTTTGGTCCCATTATTGGGAACAGAATGAGAACAATGGTTTTTAAATAACCATTATCATTATCTTCCTCTCAAATTGAATTAAAATTACTTTAATATTCTATCATAAAATTCTTTACAAAAAGGCTGTCAATCATTTTATTTCCACCAGCTTAACAATGAACTCAATGATAAGTCAATGCTTTTGAGAGACAGTGTAAATGTAACTTTAGAATTTAAAAAACTAAAATATCATATGCTGTATGATAATTATAACTTCTAATATTTTTCTACCTCAGTCTTAGCTTGCATGGTGTCAGTAGACCTGATCTGAATGACTAATTATACTTTTAAGAGACAGCATTCCAGTAATAATTTTAGAAGGTCTTATTATGGAAAACACAGTACAAGGTGATACTTCCATAAAGTCAGACCATAGAATCAAATCTTGGGCTAAGCCTGTTTGGGTTTGAATGTTATTATTTTTATGAATTTATAAAAAGTTGTGTAATCTTAACCCTCTTTCCTTATATGTATGTGGGACTCATAAGGGAATTATGCCCTAGAGCTAATGTCAATATTGAGTTAATTATGTGAAGCATATAGAAGAGTGCCTGGCACATACTCACTGCTCAGTATATTAGCTATTATTATTTAGAACCCCTTATTGAGTAGTTTTAAGACTTTTTGAGTCTTTCCTGTATGCCGTACAAGGAACTTACAAAACTCTTAGTATATCTTATATAGAATGATCTTCAGAGCATGGTTCATACCTTTTTAAATAACTTTTCTTTGCTATTGTTATTGTTCTTTTTAGTACATTTCAGGTCTTTAAATCGATTAACTCTTTAGGCTAGGATGATACATTTTCTTTAAGTAAGAGTGTGAAGATCTAAGGATCACAAGAAAAAGTATCCTTGAAAAAGCAGGTAAGAGATGGGGTCCTCAGAATCTTGTATTGGGCTCTAGAACTTATCTCTATGATACCATATGAATATGGTTATTCACAGGTGACAGTAGCAAAAAGAAAGGGTAACCCATGATTCACTGATTAAATAATTAACTCTCCCAAATTTTGATTGAAGAACTAAAAGAATATTTGTATCTTTCAGAAAATGGCTTTGAAATTCAAAAATGCAAAACGAATTGAAGGACTTGATAGTAATGTATGGTGAGCATCTTCAAATAAACAACAACCATGTGGTAACGTTTTCCTGCGTGTTTTTATATCCTCAGTTGAGGATTTTTAGCCTCATCCTTATTCCAAACATGAAGCCATTCATTTTCATTTATCTAAATGAAATGGAAGGAAGTTAGCCATCTATGCACTGATTTATCCATTTAGCAAAAAACAAATTTTGTTGATGCTTCATAAAACTTACCTTCCAATGCATGAAATTTTTTCTTTTTTTGTAAATTAGATAAATTCATTTTGTGGGTCGTAAAATTTTTGTTGGGAATTTTTTTTTTTTTAATCTGTAAGAGTATAAATTAAGTCTTTTTTTTTTCTATTTTATAATACAATATAAAAAGCAAACTTTATCATTACAGCAGTTATTAATATCAGTTTTTGTTTTTAATCTTAGGATTGAATTTACCAAGTTAGCTGCAGATCCTTCTGTTGTGAATCTTGGCCAAGGGCTTCCAGACATCTCCCCTCCTACATATGTAAAAGAAGAATTATCAAAGATTGCATTAATTGATGGCCTGAATCAGTATACACGAGGCTTTGTAAGTATATCAGGACCACATGACATGAGATTTTATTTCACATTGTGTTGTGTGTATATATACTTCTCTTATTTATATGTAATTGACCTTTTGGGATCAACCACACCAACCTGATAACCATAGGAGCTCTGTCCCCTGCCCTTATCCTCTAGGATGATCCTTCTCCACCTTCCAAGTGGTCCACAGTTCTGTCTTAGCTCTTAATTTATTGCTGTTCCAAAATGAAATATTAGGACAAGGGAAGGGAAAATATTCTTTTGAAACATTCCTTTTCTGTCTCATTGACACTCATGTCTCCAAGTAGTTACTGTCTTCCTGTCTATCCTACTGCAATCCCCTCCTTCATCCTTCTGTGATGAAGTGCATAGGACATCCAGACATTTCCTAAATTAACATGAACCTCTGAACCATAGGCTTATCTCTGTCATGTCTAAAAGCCATGCAGTTATTATGTGTCTGAGCATTTGTTTTCCTTTTATGATAGTGTGGGAATGAAAAGGGACAAGGAAGAGAAAGAAGTCTTTTTATTTTTTGTCTTTACTGTCTAACTACAAAATACCATGGAGGGGTTGGAGGCATAGCTCAAGTGGTAGAGTGCCTGCCTAGCAAGCATAAGGTCCTGAGTTCAAACCCCAGCACCATCAAAAAAAATAAAAATAAAGGAAGCAACAAAAGACCATGGGGGTGCTGCTATGGGAATGGGAGCACAGGGTAAAACAGTTTGACACTGGTGTGATCAACTATGTAGACCCCCATCTCACACCTACTCCAAGACTTACCTCTCAGCCATGTGCAAATCCATGATGAAAGGCTAAAAGTGAACAAACAGTAGGGAAAATAATGAGATCAGAAGCTGATTCATTGAAGAGAACTATATAATGTAAAAAATAGTACATCCCAACCAAGTGAGGTTTATCATAGAAATACAGGTTGGTTTGACTTTCAAAAACCAACCATTGTAATTTAGCATAGTAACAGAATAAAAAAGGAAAAATTATATAATCAACCTAATATATACAGAAAAAGCATTTGGCAAAATTCATATCTCATTTGTAATAAAATCTTTTAGCCAACTGAGAACAAAATGGAACTTTCTCAATCGATAAAGGGAATCTATGAGACACCACAGATTACATTATAAACCACATAATGTAAAAAGATTGGGAACAGACACGGATCTCCACTCTCAGCATTGTTAGTCAAGATTGTGCTAAAGGCCCTATGAGACATGAAGATATGTAGTTTAGAAAGAAAACAATTGAAACTCTCTTATGCAGAAAGCATAATCATGTATATAAAATATCTTAAGGAATTCCGCCAGAAAGCTGCTGTATCTAGTATGTGAATCAAGCAAGATAGCAGGACAAAAGGCCAGGATTAAAAAAAAAAATCAATTATATTTTTGTATTGAAACAATATCTGGAAGGTAAATTTCTAAAAATATTATTTATAATAGAATTCAAAAGCAAGGAACATTTAGGACTGAATTTAAACTGTATGTGTGGATAGACAGAAAATGGGTAGATAGATAGATAGATACAGATGGATATGCAAGTTGAACACTGAAAGCTACAAAACATTATTGAGACCAGGGAAAAGAAAAACAATTAAAAGAATGAAGAAAGCCTCTGAGACTTACAAGACACCATTAAACAATTATTCTAGCTATGGGAGCTCCAGAAAGTGACTAGAAGGGTAAAGGCATAGGAAAAACCTGCTCAATGCAGTGTCAGCTGAATGCTTCCCGAAAAGATACCTGCATTTCCATATTTATTGCAGCTATTCACAATTCCCAAGGTATGAATCAATCTCAGAATCTGTGACTGGATGGATGGATAAATAACATAAAGGTGAGCATGGTAGCACACACCTGTGGTCTCAGCTACTCAGGAGTAGAAGAGTGATTTCTAGAGGCTAAGAAGTAGAAGTTGAAGGGGCATTTGAACAACAGATCCCAGAACACAATTAGAAGAGATCAAACTCATTCATGTAAGAAGCCATATGATAGTAGGAAAAAATTTTAAAAATTTACTGCCATTAAGAAAATACAAGCTGGGCACAGTGGCTTATGCCTATAATCACAGTTGCTTGGGAGGTGGAGCTATCAGCCAGGGAAAAATGTTGGCAAAACCCTATCTCAAAAAACAAGCCGGACTGAGAGCATGGCTCAAGTGGAAGAGCACTTACTTAGCAAACACAAGGCTCTGTGTTCAGATCCTAGTATTTAAAAACAAAATTTCCCCTTTGAGTAACTCTAAACATCAAACCCAAATTTTAAAAATACTTACATTTTCAGAGTCATAGTAGCTCAAAGAAGTAACCAACTATTCAAGGTGTTTTCTTATTTTTTAATCCAACAGGGTCATCCATCACTTGTGAAAGCTCTGTCCTGCCTATATGAAAAATGTTATCAAAATCAAATCAATCCAGATAAAGAAATCCTTGTGACAGTAGGAGCATATGGATCCCTTTTTAATGCCATTCAAGGATTAGTTGAAGAAGGAGATGAAGTAAGTATACTGACATTATCATGCCTGTATTAGTCATTATCATTTGTCCCACCTTTAAATCTTTTACTTATTTTAGGTTCTTTTCATTCTCATTTTAAATTATTTTTGAAGTCTAAGCACATCCAGTAAAGTTCACACCTCTTACATGTAGAGCTAGGTGAATTTCCATGTAGCTATAACCCAGAGTTTCCTTTGCACCCCTTCATAGTCCACATTCTCCCAGAGTTGAGCACCCTTCTGTCTTCCATCACCGTAAGTTAGTCCGAACTGCTCTTTCACTTGATAAAAGTAGAATCGAACAGAATATACTCTGGAGTCGGCTTCTTTGATTTATCATTGTATCTGTGAGTGTCATCTATGTTGTTGCATGAGTTAATTCTTTTTGTTTTTATAGACTACTAGACTAAGGGTAGGTGTAATAAACTAACAATGAGGAACCAAAAGAGAACTTTGTTTTCATTGCTAAAAATAATCTCTAATTGAACTCAATCAACAAATATTTGGTCAGTGCCTTTTTGTGTCCAGTGTGATGGGAACAGTGCCATATAGTGCCATGCTGCAAGACCGTTTTGTGCACCTGTGTCAGTCATCCTGGCCCCTACTGCCCCATTGTCGCTATAATACCCCAACTTTAATATTTCTTGACCTTGTTCATTTATTCAGAAATTACTGGGGATCTACTTTATGATGATAGGCACTGCAAGAGAGAAAAAATTTAAAAGGCAGTTTTTATGTGAAAGGGCTTTCCTATCTAGCAGGACAGATAGATTTGCAAATGGATAAAGGGGACTGTTGTGTGTTAGTCAGTAGTGAAGATGTACAATATATGGTGATGACAAAAGGAAAAAGTAATCTGCTCTGGTATCGCAGGTCTGGAAAGCTCAGTAGAGTTTTCTTAAGCTGGATCTGAAGTAGGAATGTTTATCCTGATCTGTACCGCTCCCTTTCTTTGAGCTCTCATAGCTCTTCCAGACTACTTTTATAGAAGACACTGCTCTGTGGTTTGTGTCATTATCCTTTGCATCTGCAATTACCTCTACTGTCAGATGATAAGCTATTTAAGGTCACCTGGTAAGGAGTACAGTCACACTGTCTTACACCTAGTCTCTTGATCCTGCACTGTGGTGGAGCATGCTGTCATATCTTGAGGCTGCTGGTCCTTTGCTGTGTCCTCCTCTGTGCTCTGTTGCAATGTCCCACAGTTTAGACGTTCGTCTTCTTTATACTTTCTTCCCTCATCACTTTATGTAGTAATTTGAAGTAACATGAATGTTGTTTTCTATAATACTGACTGATTTTATTATCTTTATAGCATTGTTATTACTGTCTGAAAATATCTACATTACCTGTTTTCTCATGCATTCTACATCTCTGTCAGTAGGATATAAGTTTCTGGGTGAACTTGTTTATTGCTGTATTGCCAGCACCTAAAACAGTGCGTGCAGGTTAAGTACTCTTCAAAAAGAGAGGGAAATTGTTCCATCCTAACAATAATTAATTTAAGGTGAAGAGTAAGAGGTAAGTTCTATCCATTGTGCAGACCTACTCTCACTTTGTATTGGGCACTACATTTCCCACCAAGGTTGCAGAAATAGATCGGTCATCTTGGTCCCTGAGAATTTCTGAGAGGAACAAAGACTGTAGTCCACTGATCCATTCCTGATTCATTTCTCTGTCCTCCACAGCTCCTGACACTGAACTTAGCACGCTGTACCTAGTGGGCACTCAGTCTGGCACAAGTACAAAGGGACTTTTAAGATATATGATTCCCATGTAAAAGGCTGGGCAGGTATTTTACATCATAAGAAATGCAAACTGTAGCCTGGCACCAGTGGCTTATGCCTATAATTCTAGCTACTTGAGAGACTGAGATCAGGAGGCTTGCCCAGGCAAATAGTTTGTGAGACCCCCATCTCCAAAATAACCAGAGCAAAATGGACTGGAAGTGTGTCTCAAGTGATATAGTATCTGCTTTTCAAGCACAAAGCTCTGAGTGTAAACCCCATTCCCACACCCCCCCCAAAAATGCAAACAGTAAAAACTGCACATTAGAGTGCCATTACGTTTAACCACCAAAAAGTTAAATAAGGCAAACTTATTTAAGTTTTTATACTTTTGGAGTTATACATTGCTGTCTTCCTTTTTTTTATTTTTGACAGTACTAGAACTTGAATTCAGGGCCTCACACTTGATAGGCAAGTGCTCTACCATTTGAGCCACTCCACCAGCCCCTTTTTTGTGTTGGATTTTTTTTTTTCTCTTTTTATTTTATTTTATCATTTTTTTTGTATTTACTCACATGTGTATCCATTGTTTGGGCCACCTCCCCCCACCCACACACACTGTATTGGATATTTTTGAGATAGGGTTTCACATACTATTTACCTGGGCTGGATTTGAGCCACAGCCTCTTGATCTCTGCCTCCTGAGTAGCTAGGATTTACAGGCATGAGCCACAGGAACCCAGCTTGTCATATTTTTCAAAAACAATTTGACTATATATATGTGCATGTTTGTATCCACAAAAGTTTTATAATCTTTAATCTAGAGATAGCAATCATGAATTTATTTAACAAACTATTTAAAAAATGGAAAATTATATGCTCACAGATAAACACAGCACTGTTATTTATATAAGCAGAAGGTAAGTAAAGTATTCTAAAATTTAATAGATAATCAAAATAATAAAAACTAATAACATGAAATTTTGTAAAATATGGCTAGGTTTAAAAATGTAGAAAGAAAAATTAAATGTATGTGATAGTTATAAATTATGTGTTCAAACTCTCCTTATAGAAAAACAAAAAGTTGGAGATGCTAGGTCAGGCTAGCAGGTTGGTGGTGGGATGGTTACCACACTGGCTAGATTGGCTTCTCAGTTGAAAACCTAGCCAGGAGTGACTGGGAGAGAGCTTGTATGGGTGACGGGACAAAGAGAATGTCCAAAAGACTGTGGAAAAACACAGGCTCCAGATAATAGACAACTGGAGGGAATATCAGAAAAGAGCAATAGCATCCAGACTCCCTGCCTTCCACCGTCTGTTGCAAAGAAAGCAACATCTTTGTCCTCAGGATTAATGCTTGTAAACTTGCACTCTGGACCAGTGAGCATTCTTTATAGAACCACTTCTTTCACTGTCTGATATAACAGTTATATAGCCTATGATCTATTTTTAAACTTGAAATATAAAGAAATTCTTAATGGTTTTGATTAGAGCATCCCTTTGAAAATATGATATGATGAATGGATAGCCTTCTCCCTAGAGAAGTCTACCTGTATATATATTAAAAACTTATCATTTCAAGTGCCCCCCTGCAGACCCATCCATAGATCTCCCAGAGAGACCAAGGACTCCATTTAGACTCCATGGATAAGATTCTATCCAAGTCTTTCATGGTCTGACATTAGCTGCATGGAAGTAGGGCCTGTCTTTTTTAGTGCTGTATCTCAACACACAGTACAGTGCCTCACATACATGAGATGTATAGTGTTCATAAAATGAATGAATAAATGTGTTATATTCTTATTTGCTTTTATTACAGGTCATAATAATGGTGCCTTTTTATGATTGCTATGAGCCCATGGTGAGAATGGCTGGAGCAACACCAGTTTTTATTCCCCTAAGATCTGTAAGTTTGCCAGTCCATTCATGTGCTTCACGAATTTTTTATAATACCAATTACTTTGTCACCAATAAAGCTCCTAAGTCTTTTCAAAGCAGTTAATGCTCTAAGGTGAATCAGAATCTTCTATTAGCCCTACAGTGGCTTGCATGTTAACTGGTGATGCAGCTGGCTCCTGGAGAAGAATCTAGGCACTTTAACAGCTGTTACGTTGACAGGGATCATTTTTCCACTTAACAGGTGTGAATGTAAGACTCCAGACCTCATGGGTTCTCAAGGCAGAACTAAGCATAGTTATTCTGTTCTCAATTCATTAGCCACTTACTCAGTTACCTTTGCCATGCCTTTCTCCAACTTTTTTTCCTTATTAGGTTATTTATTTGTAAGACAGCAAACATGAGTTAATTTGTTTAAATCGCAACTTCATTCTTCATGCTTAGAAACCTATTGATGGGGAAAAATGGTCTAGTTCTGACTGGACGTTGGATCCTCAAGAACTGGAGAGTAAATTTAATTCTAAAACCAAAGCCATTATCTTAAATACGCCACATAATCCCATCGGCAAGGTGAGTCTCTTATCTCCTTTTCAAAGCCTTTTATCTACTGTTTTCTCACATGTTGAAGAATAATTGGCTGTGCTCTTTGCTTTGTATGTATAGGTGTACACCAAAGAAGAGCTCCAAGTAATTGCTGACCTTTGCATCAAATATGACACTCTCTGCATCAGTGATGAAGTTTATGAATGGCTTGTGTACACTGGAAATAAGCACTTAAAAATAGGTACTGAATATTACACAGGGTCACAAATTTCATTGTTTTTGGACACATGTGGAACAATTGATAGAAAAGTATCTCAGTTCAGTTTTAAAATAACCTTTGTGTGGGGATCCGATGAATATCTAAAAATAGTATTCAAATGAATGATGTTGAGTGAGTTAAAGAACAACTTGAAGAGGAAAACAGTACAAACTTAAGGAGGAGATTTCAGATTACACTGTAAAGCTGTGAAGCCAAAGAGATGTGCTTTTGCCCATATCCTTGGCTTCTTACCAAGAATTCCTTTGTGTGTAAGACATCAATAACATAACTGTTCCTGAAGATGCTCTGGACTATTTGTGCTGAGCAAGTTGCCAAAATGCCAAGGCAACAGAAATTATAGGGACAGTAGCTATTGCCATGATTCAGTCTTTGCCTTGGATTTTGCCATTGCTACTGGGCTATCACAAATACCACACTGTCCTTTAGGGTAGCACAAACTGTCAACTATAGGATTATAAGATGGGCTGCAACCATCAGAGCTTCCTTGCCTAGAAACGCTTTTCTCTATAATGTCCACACGGCTTAGTCTTCTACCTCCTTGAAGTCTTTGTTCAATATTACTTTTCCAAACACCAGATTTAAGGTTGTTATGCCTCTCCTTCCAGCATTTGCTTCATCTATTTTCTGTTTTGTTTTTTATTCAGTTGTAAAATCAGAATGTATACTGCAAGAGATAGAGATTATTGTTCGGATTGGTGTCTTCTGAATCCCTGTTTTCCAAAATAGGGTCTTGCACATGGTAGATAATCAGGAAGTAATTGTTGAATAAATAAGTAGGAAATACAAGATGTACTGGAGGAAGATGATTAAGAGATGCTGTGGTAGAGAGAAATTAAAAATTAGGGCACATATATGCAAACAGTTTTGCACATATCATAATTGTTCCTAGCATACATTACAAATAGCTATTGAGATGGGAGGAGAAAGCAACTGTTTGAGGAGATCAGCAAAGCAGTGGGCAAAAGAAGGAATGAGGTAGGCAGAGAAATGGAAACTAAGTTCCTATCATATAAACTAGTATAGACTTAGGCAAAGAGGCGTAAAAGATCAAGTATACTTAAGAAAGGTAACAGTTTGATTTACAAAGGTGTGTCATGGTAACTGAGTGAGAGTGGACTTTGCATATGAGAGTAAAGAGTGTATAAACTTTGTTGGAGAGTCAGTGGTTCTTAAAAATTCTTAGTGGAACACCTTGAAACCAGAATGTCCTGCATCATGAAATAGCAACATAGTGTAACTAGAAGCAGTTCCATCCTGAACCTAGAAATGCTTTTTCATAACAGAAATCTGACAATTAGAAATCAATATAAAATCGTAATTCTATCTATACTTGTCTATAACAAAAGAGCTATTACAACAAACACATCTGAGTTCTTCTGATCTTGCCATTTACTAAATACTCATTTATTTCATGATGTGTAGCATTTACTATCAGCTAAGTGGCAGCAGTTGCAAAAGATTTAAGAAAATTGTGTGGAAGAACCTTTAAATTGATTTTTTTTTTAAATTCTGTATATTAGCCTGTACTCCCAGCTACTTGAGAGATAGAGATTGGGAGGTTTGGGGTTCAAGCCAGGGCAAAAAGTTAAAGATATCCTGTTTCATTCAATTAGTTCAGTGTGGTGGTATGTGCCTTGATCCCAGCCATGTGGGAGACATAGATAGGATTGCAGGCTGAGACCAGCCCTGGGGAAAAAACACAACACCTGAAAAATAATTAAAACAAAACAGGGCTATGGGGTGTGGCTCAAGTGGTAGCCTCCTACCTACCAAACGTGAGACCCTGAGTTCAAACCTAAGTATTGCCAAAAAAAATAAGAAAAAATTGTATACATTAACTTAATCACTGGAGGATCAGTGAGCATACTTTGAGAATTATTACAAGAGTGAAACAAAGAGATTGGATTTATTGGATATGGATAAAGATAAGGTGCAGATGAGGGTCATAAGCAAATCACATGTCCTGGAAGTGGAAATGATGCATGGTGGCTGATAGAAGTAGAAGCTACAGCAGAAGTAGTGCAGCACTCCAGAGTATGAGACAGGAAGATCCCATGTTTGAGACCAGCTGGGTTACACAGAAGTGGAAACCACAGAGCATAGAGCATAGCATCTGAAAGTAAGAAGGAAACAAGCAAGTGTAATTCTGGGATCCCTAACATACTACTCAGCAGTGAGGAAGCTATTAGCCAGAGACAATATGGAAGAAAGAACAGATCTGTGGTCAAGAGGTAAGCAAAGACAATTCTTGCTCCAAACTTTTGCTAAGTTTGAGTGGCTCTGAGACTTAGAGTTGCATATATCTGGAGATAAATGAAATTCATGGATTGAATGGTCAGCATCAGATTATAAGGACATACAATTTTTGGTTGTCATCCAAATTTGGGGGATAGCCAGACCCATGCAAGAGAATTAATTTTTTCAAGGAGAGTATATAAACAGAGAAGGCAGCAAAGAATTGCAGGGTATGATATCTTAACACGGCAAAATGGTATTGTCTCCAAATTGCATCCCCACCACCCATCTTGGTGATGACCAGTTCTTCAGGTCATTGGAAATATCTCTTGGTCAAAAATCAGTCCAACAGGAACAATTAGCTTTTTTAGTTAACTCAATTTTTAACTCATGTTTTAGTTGTTGTAAAATCTTATAATGTTAAAACAAGCAAAGAAATCAATTTACTATTTAATAATTTAGAAAATGCAGTTTGGCACAGGAAATCAATGTGAGTCAGTGCCCTGTATAGCTATCCTTATCTCAACCAGCAAAAACACTTGTTCCTTCCTATTATTGCTTATACTCTCTCTACAACAAAATTAGAAATAAGGGCAAAATAGTTTCTGCTGGGTATTGGGGGGGGGAGAAGGAGGGGGTGGAGTGGGTGGTAAGGGAGGGGGTGGGGGCAGGGGGGAGAAATGAACCAAGCCTTGTATGCACATATGAATAATAAAAGAAAAATGAAAAAAAAAAAGAAAATGCAGTTTGTTTGCGTTAAAACCTAAGTATTCACTGGGTGCCAGTGGCTCACACTTGTAATACTAGCTATTTGGGAGACTGAGATTTGGAGGATCACAGTTCAAGACCAGCTTGGGCAGATAGTTTTTGAGACCCCTCTCCCCCGCCCATCTCCAAAATAACCAGAACAAAATGGACTGGAGATATGGCTCAAGTGGTCGAGCACCTGCTTTGCAAGCACAAAGCTCTGATTTCAAACCTCAGTACCAGAAAAAAGTCTAAGAAAAACTTGGGTATTCTAATAAGTACAGTAGCCTGTTTTATGAAAGATGAGAAATGGCTATTTCAACAATTTGCAAGGTGTGGTAGTTATTTTCTAATGTAACACATAAGGCTTTTTAGCCATACTTCTTTTTTTTTATTATTTTATTATTCATATGTGCATACAAGGCTTGGGTCATTTCTCCCCCCTGCCCCCACCCCCTCCCTTACCACCCACTCCGTCCCCTCCCTCTCCCCCCCACCCCCTCAATACCCAGCAGAAACTATTTTGCCCTTATTTCTAATTTTGTTGTAGAGAGAGTATAAGCAATAATAGGAAGGAATAAGGGTTTTTGCTGGTTGAAATAAGGATAGCTATACAGGGCATTGACTCACATTGATTTCCTGTGCGTGGGTGTTACCTTCTAGGTTAATTCTTTTTGATCTAACCTTTTCTCTAGTACCTGTTCCCCTTTTCCTATTCTAACTGATCTTTACACTGGTTCCTGATCCCCTTCTCATGTTGACCTCTGTCACTTTAAGGTTTCTGTATTAGTTCCTCTGGAGTGGGGACATCAAATTCTTTCATGTTTTGGGTTTTCTATCTAATCCTTTTCCTCCCATACTATGTTCTCCCCTTGTCATGTAACCCATGTCCTACAACATTGCTGTATTTGCCCTAGATCTAAAGACCACATATGAGGGAGAACATGATTATTGGTCTTCTGAGTCTGGCTAATCTCACTCAGAATGATGTTCTCCAGTTCCATCCATTTACTTGCAAATGCTAAGATTTAATTTTTCTTTATAGCTGAGTAAAATTCCATTGTATATAAATAACACATTTTCTTGATCCATTCATCAGTAGTGGGGCATCTTGGTTGTTTCCATAACTTGGCTCTTGTGAATAGCGCTGCAATAAACATGGGTGTGCAGGTGCCTCTGGAGTAACCTGAGTCGCATTCCTTTCAATATATCCCCAGGAGTGGTATTGCTGAATCATATGGCAGATCTATGTTTAGTTTTTTAAGAAGCCTCCAAATTTTTTTCCAGAGTGGTTGTACCAGCTTGCATTCCCACCAGCAGTGTACGAGGATCCTTTTTTCCCACGTCCTCACAAACACTTGTTAGTGGTGTTTTTGATGATGGCTTTTCTAACAGGGACGAGGTGGAATCTTAGTGTGGTTTTGATTTGCATTTCCTTTATGGCTAGAGATGGTGAGCATTTTTTCATGTGTTTTTTGGTCATCTGAATTTCTTCTTTTGAGAAAGTTCTATTTAGTTCAGTTGCCCATTTCTTTATTGGTTCATTGATTTGAGGAAAGTTTAGTTTCTTAAGTTCCCTATATATTCTGGTTATCAGTCCTTTGTCTGATGTATAGCTGGCAAATATTTTCTCCCACTCTGTGGGTGGTCTCTTCAGTTTAGAGATCATTTCTTTTGTTGTGCAGAAGCTTTTTAATTTTATGAAGTTCCATTTGTTCATTCTTTCGCTTAGTTGCTGGGCTGCTGGGGTTCTATTGAGGAAGTCCTTACCTATACCTATTAGTTCCAGAGTGTTTCCTGCTCCTTCCTGTACTAACTTTAGAGTTTCAGGTCTGGTGTTAAGGTCCTTGATCCATTTTGAGTTGCTACTAGTACAGGTTGATAGACATGGATCTAGTTTCAGCTTCTTGCAGATGGATAACCACTTTTCCCAGCAGCATTTGTTGAAGAAGCTGTCTTTTCTCCATCGTATATTTTTGGCCCCTTTGTCAAAAATAAGGTGGGTGTAGTTGTGTGGGTTCATATCTGGGTCCTCTATTCTGTTCCACTGCTCTTCATGTCTGTTTTTATGCCAGTACCATGCTGTTTTTTATTGACATTGCTTTGTAATATAGTTTGAAGTCGGGTATTGTGATACTGCCTGCATTGCTCTTTTTGCTGAGTATTGCCTTGGCTATTTGTGATCTCTTGTGTTTCCAAATGAACTTTAGGGTAGATTTTTCAATCTCTGTGATGGAAGTCACTTTGATTTTGATGGAATTGCATTAAACATGTAAATTGCTTTTGGTAGTATAGCCATTTTTACTATGTTGATTCTTCCAATCCATGAGCATGGGAGGTCTTTCCATCTTCTGTAGTCTTGCTCAATCTCTTTCTTCAGGAGTTTGTAATTCTCCTAGTGGAGGTCATTCACATCTTTTGTTAAGTTTACTCCTAGGTATTTGATTTTTTTTTTTTTAGGTTATTGTAAATGGAATTGTTTCCATGTATTCCTTCTCAGTTTGTTCATTGTTGGTGTATAGGAAAGCTATTTTGTAAGTTGATTTTGTATCCTGCCACCTTACTATACCTGTTTATGGTGTCTTAAGAGTTTTTGGGTCTTTGAGGTATAGGATCATATCATCTGCAAATAGGAATATTTTGACAGTTTCTTTACCTATTTGTATTCTTTTTATTTCTTCTTGCCTAATTGCTCTGGCTAGAAATTCCAGTACTATGTTGAATAGGAGTGGAGATAGTGGGCACCCTTGTCTGGTTCCTGATTTTAGAGGGAATGGTTTCAGTTTTTCATCATTAAGTATGATGTTAGCTGTAGGTTTGTCATATATAGCCTTTACAATGTTGAGGTACATTCCTTCAATTCCTAGTTTTCTTCAAGCTTTTATCATGAAGTGGTGTTGGATCTTGTCGAAGGCTTTTTCTACATCTATTGAGGATGATCAAGTGGTTTCACAGTGTTTTAATTATTGCAACATTTTCAGCTGAGTTTGGACTTAAAGCTGCATTATCCTTAAAAGCCTATTAAGATAACTATACTATAATTAATACATTTGTTTTCTTTGAATTCCTATACTTGTATTATATTTTTAGATTATACTAAATGTACATTGATTAGAAAGCAATTATTTTAACCCCACCATCTTTCTGTTCCTTTGCAGCCACTTTTCCGGGTATGTGGGAGAGGACAATAACAATAGGAAGTGCTGGGAAGACTTTCAGTGTGACTGGCTGGAAGGTGAGAGAAGGCAGAACTTAGCTGTGGCTGGGGGTGTGCTCAGCAGTAGGGCATCAATCCTCAGCACCCCTTTCTCCATGAAAAAGAAAACATTTAGTTGCTTAAAAATAGGCATATGTTTTACTTTGATGGGGTGTTTTGTTTTAAATACACACTCAGCTTATGCAGTCTTTTACCTGTTGATTTATTTAGCTTTCATGTTGAACTTCACACTTACTGAGTCTAGCAATTTCCCTAAAAGAAAAATTAGGTAATTTTTCCTTTTATAAGTGATCAACTAATGATACTTTTTTTTCCACAAAGAATATTCAGATAACTGAATATTATTATAAAAGAAGAAAAATAATAGCTAATATTCTGGCACTCTGCCAGACTCTAATTGTTTTACATGTGCTAATTTATTTCATTCTCACAGGTACATTATAAGGTGGTACAATTATCCCTGTTTTATAGATTATAAAACTAAAGCACAGAGAATTACCTTGTCTTGAGATTACACTGCTAATAAATTCAAGCCAGGGCATGTAGTCTGGCTTCAGAATCAGTGCACTTAACCTCTTTACTGTTTATTATAATAATAATTTATCCAGCTGAAACTCAATTCTTTTCCAGCCTCTCCTCTTTTGAACATGGCTAAGATTCAGGGAGCATCAAGGAGACATGGAAAATCAAAGTCTTTATGATTTCATTATAGAACAGTTCTCCAGGCTCTTATTCAGAGTTACTTGTATCTATAATTCAAACAGGCTTTGCTGCTGTTTTTCATTCCTCTGGCATATCAGAAGTAGCAAATCATGGTGCATGCCTTTAATTCCAGCACTCCAGCTGAGGCAGGAGCATCTGAAGTTCAAGGCCAAGTGAAGCCCTATCTCAAAAAACAAGGGAAAAAAGGAAATTAGCAAATGAGAAGAGACTAATAATGGTTGCAGGCTTTGTTTACCTTCCAAAGTCAGAGTTGAGTGATGAAGACAGTTTGATGACTCCAGCTGGCAACTTCTCCACAAAAAGAACAGTTGAAATGCTTCCAAGTACAAATACTGCACTGCTTATGCAGTGTGAACGTTTCTGAACAATTGCATTAACTTCTCCCTCAGAGTTGATATGTAATACTATTGGATTAACTTTTGAAATCTGCTTTTACCTTTTCTTTTCCCAGCTTGGCTGGTCCATTGGCCCTAATCATTTGATAAAACATTTACAGACCGTACAACAAAACACCATTTATACCTGTGCAACTCCTTTGCAGGTAGGTGATGTAGCAACCTGAGTTGAAGCATGGTTTATTGGTGAAGACATCACTTATATTGTGTGTTCAAATTGACTTAGTTCACCCTGTTATGTCCTTCTTGACCAGGGCCTTCTAATGCATTTGGGGTTTTAGGAACAGACATGTATTTACTGTTATTGAGATAGGTTTTTTTGGTTTGGGTTCGTTTTCTTATTTTTTGTGTTTTTGTGCCTCAGGTAGTAGCTTTAAACATGCATACATTGTTGGTGGTGACACAAACTCTGTAGAGGACAGTGGCAATACCTGGCAAAATTACAGCTGTGTGGGGCCTGTGAAACAACAATCTGTCTCTGAGAATTTATCCTAGAGCTATGTCATGGCTTGGATATGAAATGGCCCCAAAGGATCATGTGTGGAATGCTTGGTGGACCCAATCACTGAGAAATGGTTGGATCATAAGCGTTCTGACCATATCAATGGATTGATCTATTGATGCATTCCTAATTTGATAGTACTGTTAGGAGATGATAGAAGCTAGGAGGTGGGGCCTAGTTGGAGGAGGTCACTAGGGGTGTGTCTTTGAAGGGCATGTCTTGTCCCTGACTCTGACCTATCTCTGTCTGCTTCCTGGCTTCCATGGGCTCAAAATGAAGAAAAAAAAAAAAATGAAGAAACTCCATAATTACTGTTATGGAAAGATTTACAGAATGCATTCTGAAGTATAAAAGAAAACAAGATACACAACAGTGTGTATTTATGCTGCATTTTGTATAAGAAAGAGAAAAACTTCTTGTGTTTTATTTACTTATTTATGAATCTATTTATTTGTTTATTATTTTTGCAGTACTGGAGTTTAAACATAGGGCTTTGTGCTTACTAGGCACACTCTACCTCTTACCTCTTAGCCATGCCTCTTTTTACTCTGGTTATTTTGGAGATAGGGTCTCACATTTTGCCCAAGCCTATCTGGATTAGGATCCTCCTATTTTAGGTTTCCCACTGTCCTTGGATGACCTAGGCTAACACCATCATGTCCAGCTATTGTTTGAGCTGGGGTCTCACAAACTTTTTGCCCTGATGGCCTCAAATCTCAGTCCTTCTGATCTCAGTCTCCCAAGTAGCTAGGATTACAGGTGTGAACCACCAGTACCCAGCTACTTGCCTTCTTAAAGGAACTCTGGAAGGATCCATAAGAAACTAATACAAGTGGTTCTTTGTGAGAGTAAGAGAAGTGGGTGAAATAGTAGTGAGGATTTTTGTACATAGTTATAGAAATATGAATCTGTTTATTGTCATTCTGTGAATAAACAAAATACTGAAAAAAATTCTATTTTTAGATAGCAACTAAAAGGACAAAAGAGTAAAATGTACTGACTATACCTGAACTTGATTTTTTTACTTCCTATCAAAAATATGTTTTTACGGGCTGAGGTGTGACTCAAGTAGGAGGCCTCCTACCTAGCAAACACTAGGTCCTGAGTTCAAACCCCAGGACTAGAAAAAAGAAAAGAGAAAGGAAAAGTACCTAATAGGAGAAAACTGCATTAAAATTATTTTTTATTTTTAGTGATTCTTTAAAATAATACTATGATAAAGGGTAGTTCTGACATCCAGGCTTATTATATATTAAGCTTATTTTATCCTCTCAAAATAAACCTATTCACTATGTGTTTATTCAACAAAGATTTACTGAGTATTAGAGACACAGCAGACAAAAATGCCTGCACACATAGGGCTTACCGTCTGGGGGGAGGCACAATAATAAATAAATAGTTTTAAAATGTAGTATTTCAGATGTTAATAGATGCAAAGAAGAAAAATAGAGGATGAGGATATAAAATTCCAAGGAGGAGAAATATAATGTTATATAGGGTAATCTTTGAAAGCCTCACTGAAAAGGTAACATCTGAGCAGCAAACTGAAGGAGGTTTAGCAGTCATGTGGTTATCTAGAAAAGAACCTGTAGACTAAGAAAACAGCAGGTGCAAAGGTCCCCTTGGAGACAGCCTGGCTGGCATGTACGTGTCATTGAACAGCATAGAGGCTAGAATGAAGTGATCAAGGGAGAAGAGCAGGAGGAGCTAAGAGAGAGTAACTGGGAATCAGATTCAGCCAGGCAAGTATGTCACTGTTAGGGCTAAGCAACATAGGAACGCATGGGAGAGTTTTGATCACAAGACTGGCATGGGATGGATTGTATTTTCAAAGAGAATCTGGTGCTCTGCTGAATCAGAGGCTATTCCTGAGGTTCAGGAAGGAGATGCCAGTGGGCTGAACCAATGTGGAAATGGTAGAAGCAGTAAGAAGTGATGGACTCTATTTATGGATGAATTACATATGGGGTTATAAAAAAAAGAGCAATCCAGGATAATGCTCTCATTGGAATAAACAATTATGTCTCTACACTTGGAATTTTCTAGGGCAGTGTCTTCTACTGTAGTGAATGAACCAATTGCTAAGAACAGACAGCTGAGACTCTAGAACTTTCTTTTCTAAACCATATTACTCTTCATTTAAGCGAGGTGCCCTGTTTTGCCTTCAGACAACTATGTTTGGAAACTGATCTGTTTTTCCTTGTACTGGAGGACCATTCTGGGTTGTTTTTGTTTTGGTCTTTTTTAGCTTGACTTTTTTGTTGTATTTCTTAGTGTTTCTATAAAGCCATATTAGTTGTACGGGGGGCAGAGGGAACAGGTTCATTGTGACATTTCCATATATGCTTACAATGTAACTTGGTCAGATTCACCCCCTCCGTCATTCTTCTTCCTCCCCACTCTCCCCTTCTTAAAACAATTCTTAAAACATTATATCTTAAAACAACGAACAGGTTTCATTGTTCTGTTTTCATACAAGTATATAAAGTACATCAACCTCATTTGCTCTCCTTTGCCCTTTTCATTCACCCTCCTTCTCACATTGCTACTCACTCCCGAACAGGACCCATTTCATCTTCTTATCCTTCATTTTTATTATAGTGTATATTTGTTGTTCGTAGAGGTTTCACCATAGTAATTTACCCATGAATACTTGACTTTAATCAAATAAACCCCCTATTACCTCTTTATCCTCCTACCCATTATTCAGCAGCTTTCAGTGTGTTTTGTTTTGCCATGTCATACACAGACACAATATATTTCAATATTATTCGCTCTGTCATTCTCTTTTAATTCTGTTTTATCGCTGAATTATTTTGCCACAAAGCCTTCTCTGTGATCTTCCCCTCTGTCTCGCTCATCCCTAGTCACGCTGAGTCTCTTGCTACTCTTTCGCTGCACTGGACTTCTCTTACTCTTCCAACAGAGCAAACTGAATGCTAGGCTCAAAACATATTTACTAGGTGAATGAATTTATCCTTTAGTTCCTGACATCTCTTCTCATCTGGTGGAATGGCTCAAGCAGTAAGAGCACCTGCCTAGCAAATATGAAGCCCTGAGTTCAAATCCCAGTACCACCAAATTTTTTTTTTTTTTTTTAACTACTTTGCTCTTTCCTTCGGTCTCTTAGCTATTCCAAGTTCTTGATTATTTGCCTGGACCTCCAAGCAAATAGTGCTTGGTCTATTGGACCAAGCACTACTAACATCATAGTTCCTTTCCACACTTTTCAACATTTACAGGAAGCCTTGGCTCAAGCTTTTTGGATTGACATCAAACGTATGGATGACCCAGAGTGTTACTTTAATTCTTTGCCAAGAGAGTTAGAAGTAAAAAGGGATCGGATGGTACATTTACTTGAAAGTGTTGGCCTAAAACCCATAGTTCCTGATGGCGGATACTTCATCATTGCTGATGTGTCTTCACTAGGTTTGTAAAGGTTTTATTACTTCAAATATGCCTAAGTGTGAACTCATAGCAGAAAAGATTGACATCAAAGCCATAGCAACATTTTATTCATAGAAAAGAATGGATTTTTTACAATGTCAAATTCTCTACAATTATCTTTGCTTTTAGGACTTTTACCTGAAATATGACCACTGTTAAATGGTTACAGAGTCAGTATTGTTTCAGATATTCTGTTAAGCATAGAATTGCCCTAATCCTGTTTTGGTGTAGGATTTAAAACTCCATCCATGAACTAACACATGCACCCTGGGTTCATTTGAGTAAAATTTCAATTTCCTTTTCGTTTAATAGGAAACATTAGTTTGTTAGATAAATGGGATTTCCAGAAATTTTGAAGCCATCAGGAAATATTTGCCATTTTCAAACATACTGAAATAAAGTAAACAAAGAGAATAACATTTATTGAGATTCTGCTGTATGCCAAGCACTCAAGTATCCTTTTGAAGACTTTGTTAGCTTTACAGACAAGAAGGCTTAGAAAGCCTTAAATAACTTGCCTGAAGTCACATAGCTAGATTCTAAACAGTTCTGTCTCTGAAAAGCTCTAGTTTTTATATTACCTAAAACTAATAGATATAATTCTGACATGCTATCAGCAAGTCTAGAAGTTAAAAGCATGTTAATATTTTATATATAACTTATTTTCTTTTAAAAGTAGTATAATAATCTATAAGCATCATTAATTGACAAGGTATGCCAATTCTAAATATAGTTTTAAATATTGTAAATTTGATCACAATAAAGTTATATGCCACTGAACTTAAAAAGACTGAAGTTTTTTTATTTGTACACATTTTTTAGAAAAGTGGAAATAGTTAAAAAAAACTTCAGTTTTATAATAACAGTAATTGTATTTTTAACTTTATATTCTTCATGTAGGAATTATTTTCTAATACACAGCCATTCTGACATTAGCAATTTCTCTTTCTTAGAATGTTTCATTAGCATCTTCACAGATTTCAGGGAAGTGAGGTGTTAGAACTTGTCTGTAATTTAGTCTCTGGAGAGTGGCTATAAGCACTAGTCCTGCACTGATGGGGCTGTAGGGGAAGTGGTGATGGATGTTTGCAGGGGGCCTTGCCCAGAATGCTTCCTTATCCTGGTGAACAGCCTAAGTGCCTGACCCCGTGACCAGACATTCCTCTCACAGGAAACTTGTTTGTCCTGGACGACACCCCTGAGGCTTTCGTCTGACCTGTGTCCAGTTTGTTACTACAAAATAGCCACTCTCTAGGAGCACTCTGACCTGGAAGAGAGTCAAATTTGGTTGAATTGGTCAGGTCAGACACAGCAGAGGCAGGACAACAAAACACCTGAGAAGACAGAGCATTATATTACATACAGATCCCTGAGAAAAGAATATAGCTCTCCTGGCAGGGCTAACAGGAAGTAAGCAGCCCTCTGGAACATATGTGCTCATCTAGTGGGTGGGGAACAAGACAGAACAACAGACTTGTGACCCAAAGCCTTTTTTGGGGTTCTAAGCCATTGTCCTGCAGACCATACTAATCAGTGGGTTTAGAGTAAGGATACACAAGCTCAATAGAGTTACACTTTGAGAAATTGTCAGTGTGGCATATCTTTGCTGTCCATGAAGAGTGTAGGAGTCACTAGGACAAGTCAAGTAGGTTGTTTATGGCCATCCCATAGGGAGGTATAGTCATCAGGATGTGGTTATATAAGAAGGTATCTCAGGGGTATGGAGCAGAAAATTGGAAACAGTGTCAAGGGTGACAAAGCCCTGCCTCTGGTATGAAACAGTCCAGCTTGTGTTTAGAATGGAAACTAAACACAAACATTGAAAAAAAAAATCACAAGAATTCACTGCATGAGGTTTGACTCAAACTGAAGTAAGCTCCTCCTTCGTTTGCTGTGAAGCAGAGGCTCTTGCAGTCCAATTGCCATAAAGCTTTATTTGGCAGGCTCCTGAGCACCATCCTTACCCAAAATCCCTCAATATGTTCAATATCCTAAGGTTTGGAAAGTATTTTTCCTTTTTGACTCTAAATGTGCAGCTCAATTTGTAAGATGATAAAAAGAAACAGCACTTTTTTTCCATCACTTGTATTTTTGACTCTGAATCAGAAATCTACAAGATTTTCCACATGAATTAGTTTATTTATTAAAAGAAAATGGTTCATACTTCATATGTTTCTAAGAGGAATTTGAGCCTACTCATATAAAAAAGCCTACACCAGAACAAGTGAGTAGAAATGGCTGACTATAAATCGAAAATCATGCCACATAGGAGGTGAAAGAAGCAAATATTTCAGTTACCCGGGTCACATAGTATTGCAAATAGCAGGAACTGAGATTTCCATGGCAGTAAACACAAGTAGGAAACTGGAACCAGTTACATGATGCTTGGATAAAGGAAGTCTAACAGCTTTTTAGATAAGAACAATTCTTTTTTGGATTCAAACTATTCCAGATAGTAAACTCTAAAAAGGATTTATCACAGTTGTGACATTAATTATCAATAGAACAGTGATAACAATTCAGATCACTGTGCTCAACTCTTAATTAGTTTCCCATTTGGTCCTCAGTCAACCCATCCTGCATGCAATACTAGTTTAGGTCTTACATCTTGAATTTGTGTGGTTAAAATAAAAGCAGAAATGATTTTAATTAGAAAACCTCTTCTGGTGATGGGGAATGAGAACATGTCCCTCACCTCAGAAAAAATGCTAAATGTCTAAAATCCTCCTACATATAAAAAACATTGTTTTATTTTACAGTTTCATCTGCTTTGATTAAACTGCATCGTATGAATTCTTTCATGTATTAGAGGTTGATTCTGTCCTATTGTGTTAGTTAGCTTTTCTCAATATTGTAACAAAATACTTGATATAAACATCTTAAAGGGAAGAATTTGTTTTAGTTCATGGTTTTAGAGGATCTAGGGAGCATGTGGAAGGGCAGGCTACTCATCCCATGGTGGACAAGAAGCAGAATGGAAGCAACACACGAAAGGACCAAGGCAGGATATAACTCCCAAAGACACACCAGTAACCTGCTTCCTCCAACTGGGCCCGCCTTGTACTCTCCACCACCTCCCAATAATGCCATCCTCTCATGATCTAATTGTCTCTGGAAGCTCACACACACACACACACACACACACACACACACACAGACTATACCTTACTAATCTCCTAAGTGTTTCTCAGTCCAAACAAGTTGATGATCAAGATTAACCATCACACCTTTACCAAAGATATAAAGAAAAATTTTCATGTGATGATAGTCTGAGAATAAAAGTAAGCCATAACATTTATGAACAGAGAGATTATTTCCCCTTATAATTAATTATAATGACTGGTTAATATTTAATGAACATTTGTGATATAGTATTATATTAAGAGCTTTACAAATATGTTCTCCAGAAAGCCTTACAAGATTGGTGCTATCATAATCATACTGATAGATGAGAAAAACTAGAAATATAATCAAGTAATTTACTGAAGTTAATCAGCTGACAGGTAGCAGAACTGGGCTGTGAATCCAGATATCCATGTCCTCACCAATGAACTTCTGTTTTCTGCCAGTCCTACTCCAGACAATGAGTTTCATTCTAGAACTAAAAAGGGAAACATTTGATTGAAGCACAAGACAACAAATGAGGTTATTGCTATTGTTCTGGTGAGATTAGAGATTCATGATTATGGAGGAGGTAACAGGAATACAAAAGTCTATTTGGATTTTCATAGATTACTTAAATATGCTCATACATCGGTTTAAACTCTTGCTTTCAATAAAGAATGACTTTGCTTAGTTCCTTTGAGGATTGCTAGCTCAGAAAAATAGATTCCAACTTCCTTCTAACTTTAAAACCCTTATAATAGTATTTATTCCCTTCTTCCCCTTTTCAGTACCATGGCAGGAAATTCCATTTTTCTAAGCTTTGTAAGTATGAATGAAGGCTGGGGATGTACAGCCCAGCCCTTAGTGGTATAGTGCTTGCATAGCCTGCTCAAGGCTATGGTTCAATCCCTCTCTAACACACACACACACACACACACAAAGAATAAATGAGTAGTACAGTGTCGGTTATAATTAGTAACATCTTCCTCTTCTACTACTGTTATAGGGAATTTTACATTCTCCTTACAATAGGGGAGACTGGATACAAAATCACCAGAAAACATATTAAGACTTAGGAAAAAAAAATACAAGTGAAGCTTTCTTCACTGTCAAGACAAAAAAAAACATGGTTAGTTTTAAAAAACCATTAGTACTTAGTGAACAAAAGAAGTACTATATCAAGCTTGGCATGGTGTTACATCCTGTAATCCCAGCACTCAGGAGGCACAAGCAGGAAGATCATGAATTTGAGGTTAGCCTGAAACTACATAGTGAGACCTTGTCTCTGCCTTGATTTGTTTAAGCAGTAAATTGTAAATTTCATTCATTACAATATGCATCAACATTATTTCTTTTGGGGTGTTCTAAAAGATCTAAGAGAATAAGCTAATACGGTTGAAACTGAATGCCAGAGAAGTATCTTCCCCAGACTTTAAAGCAAGATTGATGAAAGTGAAAAGAATAAGAATACATATTTGAAGTATTTTCCCCCAGTTAAAAAATAGCCTAATTCATGGAAACAAGAGATAAACAATAAGTGTAGCATTTGGGAGATCTAAACATACATTCTCTGTTTATAGATTGAGAATAATATTAGTTTATTCATTCAACAAATATGCTTTTCATTACTTGTGTGCTAGACACACTAACCTGAGAGTTGGAAATACAATAGGTGGTAAAACAGACACTTTATTCTTCTGGAGCCTAAAAATCTGTTGGGAGATAGAATTATTACTGGTGAAAATAGAAAGAGTGACCATGCTCCTCTTTCTTCCCATTCTCCATTCTCTCCCTGCGCCAGCAACAGTGAGGCCAGGTGACTGTGTGAGCTTACTGATAGATGAGGCTATCAGTAAGCCTCATCTGAGACTCCCTCACTTGCACCTCACTTCACCGCATGGTGAATCCGGTGGGAAACCCAGCATGTTCTGTGAATGTCCCTGAGAAGGTTCTAGATTGAACCTGTTTAAATCAGGAGAAGGGTTGGATCTCAACAGACTTAAGAAGTGAAATGCCTGTTGCTTGTGTTCCTAAACACCTGATTTTCAGTGATATTTTAGATGCCGACCTCTCTGATATGAAGAATAACGAGCCTTATGACTATAAATTTGTGAAGTGGATGACTAAAAATAAGGTAATATTTACTGGCCTTTGCAATATTGCATTGTATTAATGGTTAACTTGCTGGCATGCTTTGAAAAAACTTTTTTTTTTTTTTTGTGGTATCGGGGCTTGAACTCACGGCCTTCACCTTGAGTTCACCATTCCACCAGCCCTTTTTTTTGTGAAGGGTTTTTTCAAGTTAGAGTCTGACAGAACTATTTGCCTATGCTTCCCTTGAACCACGATCCTTCTGATCTCTGCCTCCTGACAGTAGCTAGGATTGCAGGTGAGAGCCACCAGCACCTGGCTTAAAAACCTTTTACTGTGGTTTTCTTATATGATATTCCACCCATGATTTCTGAAGCATTTTAAAGACATTTTTCTTTTTGGAGATTATTGCAAATATTTAAAAGTATCCATTTATTTCTAATGTCTATGTTCTTAAAATTAATATTTGATACGTAAGTTATTTTCCTATTATATCATCCTACTTATTTTTCAGAAACTATCAGCCATCCCTGTGTCAGCATTCTGTAACTCAGAGACTAAATCACAGTTTGAGAAGTTTGTGCGGTTTTGCTTCATTAAAGTAAGTTTCCTGTTCGACTCAGAAATAGATTTACAATATCCCTCCTTCCAATTTACAAAGCACCTGTTTTTTCTTTGTCTAAAACTATATGCTCATAGGCATTTTTTAAAATTTTATCCTGTTGAATTAAATTAACTATTAGCAGTATGAACTCAACCTTCTTTGCAAAAGCAACACAATCCAGACACCTTATCATGCAAAATAACACTTCCCACTGTGTGGTAAAACATACTGACACAAGGGAATCCGGCCTATAGTTTTTTAAACTATTCAATGGAAATATACCTAAAGGTGACCCAGATATAGGAATTAGCAGACAAGGACTTTAAAGCAAATATTACTTACTAATATAGTCAAAAAACTAAAGGAAAATATGACCATAAGGAGTTAATAGAGGAATTAGAACTGCCTATATATATAAAAGAATCAAATGAAAATTCAAGAACTTAAAAGTGTCAGGCACCTGTGACTCATACCTGTAATCCTAAATTACTCAGGAGGTAGAGATGGAGATGATCAAGGTCTGAGGCCAACCCTGACAAAAACTTAGCAAGACTCCATCTCAACAAACAAACCAGGCATGATGATCCTTCCTGTAATCCCAACTACTCAGGAGGCACAGATAGAAGGATAGGGTCCAAGGCAATAAGTATTTTCCCTATCTGAAAATAATGAAATGGGCTGGGCCTGGCTTAGGGGGTGGAGCGCCTGCCAAGCAAGTGAGAGGCCCTGAGTTCAAACCCAGTACCCCAGAAAGAAAGGAAAAGGAAAATGCCACACCCATCTGTATAGCAAAGAGCAGGACACTGATTTGGGGGTTCCAAATGTGCTGTTTCTCCCCTCAAAATTCAGTTTGCTATATATCCTGTGCATGGAAACAAAGAAATGTTAACTAAATTCTTATTAGAGACCCTGGAGACCAAAATACACATTCAAATAGAGACCAGAAATAACATATCAAAGCACAGAAATAAAAAGTAAATCAGTCTAGTAGTATATACCCAAAAAAAAAACTATTATTTAATAGTGAAAATGGGGGCTGAGGGTGTAGTTCAGTGGTAGGGCAATCGCCTAGCATGTGCAAGGCCCTGGTTGGATCCCCAACCCTCAAAAAAGAAAAAAAGATATCCCAACAAACAAGACCTGAGAGAACTCATTAGACTTAGAAGATCTGAAGGTATTGTTGCTGTTTTTCACATTTTACTACTACTGAAAATAGTCTTCCTAAGAGAGAGGCACCGTCTATACCAACTCACTTTGCCATATACCCAGTAGTAATAAGGTAAACACTGTTTGAACATTTAGAAATAACCTATAAACAAACTATGGAAGAAATAAATGTTCATAACTTAATGATGCAAATATTCAACTCACTGAAATGTAGGGGAAAAGTAAGTCTACAATAGCCTGGATCTGGAAATAGAAAGGCATGTTCTTCTCCACTCACAATGGAGTTATAGCCAGGTAAACTTGGTTGAAAATATCACATTAGAAATACATTTAATGCCCCAACCTAGTGCACAGCAGATCTGAGTGACCCAGTGTACCGTGGAGTCTCACTCGTTTGCTCTCCTGCTCACACGGCTCACCACTGCAGCCAGCCTCAGGTGACATTATCTTACAGTGAATAGCTAACCCGGACAAAAATTCAGAGTATGGTTTCTACTGAATATCTATTGCTTTTTCACCACTGTAGAGTCGGAAAATACTAAGTTGAACCACCATAAGGCAGGGACTATGTTTATAAGATACTGAAACTATAACAATAATCAACAGAAGAAAAAAGAAACAGAAAACTTCAGTTTTAAAGTAGTAAACACAGACTTACTCTGTTCTCTTCTTGGAAATTATTTAGAAACAACCAGGAGAGTTGTCAACTAATTCACAAATTTCCCAGTGTCTAAGGAAGGCTGCCAAATACCATGATATAATGGTAGAGGGAAGATAATTTAGAAAGGACTCTGCTTCTGTGTCTTCACATTATCCACATGTATGCTCATCACCAAGAATAGCAGCACAACTGAAGATGAACTGAATTTCAGAGGAAGAAACAGGGTAGAAGCACACAGTCATCTAAGCCCTGTGTGAGGCATGGTGGAAAGGGGACTCTGGTTGGGCTGTAGATTTCTTCTTTCACCTGTCATTGTTGCAATACATTGTGTATTGAGGCAATGTGGAGGAGATACTTTAAATTTGGTATAGCCCATTTAATTAGTTAGGAAGAAACAAAGTCTAAAAGACTGACCCCTACATCAGTTGTAGTAAACTTAAGTGTGAGCCAGGGAGAATTTTTCTGCTGACTTCCAGTTCCACCCGGCTCCTCCCAGGTACAAATCTGCAAATCCATCTTCAAATCCTAGACAGAGCTAGCAGGTAGCAAACTCTTTATCCAAAACAGTAGGAACAGGGTGTAGGCTGGAAGTGGGAACTTGCAAAGGGAACACAATCAAAAATGATCACATATCAAAAAGGAACCAGTTATGAGTCATTAAAAGGACACTACAAGGAAAAGAGAAAGATAGAAGAAAAAAACAAGCATCAGAGAATAGTCACCGGAAAAAAATGTTGCCATTGAGCCAATGAAAATTATGACATTTGAAACTCTAAACTTAAAAAAGATTAAAGTAGAGATTTTTACAGTTCAAAGAAGAGAGTGCAAGATAGTATAAGAAGATTAAATGGTACCTGTCAGAGCTCAGGTAAGAAACTGAAGGAAAAATAAACCTATTAGATTTTAGAAATTATGAGCCAGGCACTGGTGCCTCATGCTTGTAATCCTACCTACTTGGGAGGCTAAAATCAGCAGGATCATGGTTTGACTCTAGGGCAGGCAACAATTTTATGAGACCCCAATCTCAAACAATAGCTGGGCACAGTTGTGTGTACCTGTCACCCCAAGCTATGCAGGAAGCTGAGATCTAGGGAATCGTAGCTCCAGGATAGCCCCAGCAAAAAATGTTTATAAGACCCCATCTCAACAGAAAAAGAAAAAAAAATCTGGGATTGGTGGCAAATGCATGTCATCTTAGCAACAGTGGGAAGTGCAAAATAGGAGGACTGCAGTCCAGGCCAGCCTGGGCAAAGAGGGTTGGAGCTCAATCAGTAGAACACCTGCCTAGTACTGTGTTCAAACCCCAGTACCACAGAAAGTAAGAGAAGGAGTGGAACCATGATAAAATATCTGTACATGTTCAAAACAGACATAATCTCTTTTTCAAACATTTTTAATCATCAGTTGGTTAAAATGCAGAACTAGCAGATAAGTAGGGCTAATTGCACATCTGTTTTCATCTGTACTTATTTATCTCCAAATATTTTGAAACCACCATGGGGATTGTTCTAGGCTTCTCCAATTCCACTTCCTCAACAGTAAAAAACCTGGTTCCCATTACCTAATTTTTTAATCAATACTTATGTGATCGATCTCCTGTGAATGCCCCTGTTTTCCTCTACCTCCTACCCCAAATCTCTAAATGGATCCCTTTACCCCACCCAGGCTTTGACACTTTGAGCCAAGCTGTTGCCATTGTCCCCATAAGTTCATCACTCTCACTGTACAGCTTCAACATCCCATGCCATCCTGCTCTGTCACCTTCTCACAGAAATGCTCTCCTGGGCAATACCCCACACTGGGCTGCCTATGGTCTCACTGCAGAGAAACCCTCCTTGCCCCTTTTAGGCTTTGACACTCCATGCCAGGTGCATGCTTCACCCTATCCAGTGCCCAGTACTCTGCATGGGGCCTATCACACAGACACTCCCCCTCCCTGGGCTCTGACTCCATACCCCCACTTCTGTCATCACCACCTTTTCTACCCACCATGACCACCCTCCCTACCCATTCAACTCTGACTGCATTATCCTGTGGCTAGGTTGCCCAGGCTCCCCAGCCTCCACAGGTAGACTTCCACTTCACAAGCCCCATCTATTGGCTTTCATACTAATCATTCTGGTAGAGAGGGGAACAGAAAGAAAAGAAGCAGAAGATGAAAACACAAGGCTAGATTTTCAGTTTAATTTTATACCATTGGCATGCATTACCTATTTAAAAACTAAGTAAATTATTTTTCAGTAATCATAACTGAAATTTTGATAGAAAAAGGTCCCATCAGAGTCATGTTTAGACTATACTAAATTTTCCTTGTTCAAAGAAAAGTATAATGAATAATATGTGAAGTTCACAAATGAAATTAAAAGTTCACAAATAAGGAAACAAAAGCATAAATTTTTTAGATTTTGATGGTAACCATTAGAACTAAATCCAGAAATTGCTGTTAGAGGTTGTCTTGGGATGGACAGATTAATAAGGACAAATGGCAAGGAGTGGAGAATATTGCTATTATTTTTAAACTTTGCCTTGAATTTATGTGGGTTTTCAGTGACCACAATTATTTCATTAATTTCCAGAAAGACAGCACACTGGATGCTGCTGAGGAAATCATCAAGGCATGGAGCAGACAGAAGTCCTGATGTGTGCAGAATGTTAGTAATTTCCACTACATGACTAGTATGAAATTGCTACTCAGTGCTGCCACCTGCTGGATTTTGAAAAGCATATATTTCAGTAAAAATAAACTTTTTTTTCACTTTTTCCAAAGTTAACCCCATTCCTAACAATATGCAGGAGACTTGATTTTTTTTTCAATAAGAAATCTATTAAAACATCTTCCAGTATCATTTTATGAGCGACAACATAGCATAGTGTATAAGTGAGAAAATCGTAACCCTCTGTGCTTCATTTTCCTCATTCTAAAAAGGAAAAAAAATAGCACCTACTTCTTGTAAAGCTCATTTTTTAGGAACTTCTATGTAAAGCCTACCAAACAACAAGCACTGTCATGGTGTTACCCAGTTTCACCTCTCTGTTGTGTAAAGAATTAACCAGTTACATCCCCTCTGACCCTCTCTGCACTTACAGTACCTTACCAATGACCCTGAAATTTGCTGGTGGTTTTGCCTCTATTTTAAGTACTGTCCTTATTTGGGGTGGCTTCAAGGTCCACAAGAACGATTTAGGCTTCCTGTACCTTGACATCTTCATTTCTGGTGATGTTCACCTCTATTCTACTTCAGTCACCCACTCCCTTGGAAGGCTCCTTTACCTTTGAGATAATAAATTCACTATCTGATGCTATAACCACCTATCCTTCCAGCTCATGTTTGCCTTTCCCTGTCTCTGTCTCTGTCTCTCTGTGTGTCTTTCCCTCTCTTTCCCTCTGTTCCTTCTGTTCCTCTCAAGATAACACTTTTTAAAACTTACTACAGATTCAAGTCCCTTACTTCTCAAAAAAAAAAAAAAAAAGGTCCATAGCCCTCTTATGTCATTATCAACCATGATCCTTGTTTAAAAAAAAAATTCTGATTTTCACCCCAGACCTACTAAGGGCTAATTTCAGGATCTGGCACTTCCACAGATTAAATTTGATAATCACCTTTGTAATCCACATAGCCCTTGGTTTTATTCCTATTGGTTCTCATATCATCATTCCCTTCCTCACCAAACTTTGAGTTCATTGTCCTTCGCTTCATTAATTCCAGAAAGACAGCACACTTGATGCTGCTGAGGAAATCCAAGATATTTTTGCTATCTTAAATTAGTACCCCATTATTCTAACTCAATTTCCTGGTTAAAAAAAAAAAGATAATTCAACCCTGCCATTCTGAAGCTTCTGAATGTTCAGAAGCTCCATGCCTGCACCTGGGCTGCTGAACATTACTGAAGCAAACCATACAAGAGCAAATTCTAGCAGCCATGAATTTTGTTAACCTAAATTAGATATAATCCTATGTTTCCCCCAGTGAGCTTTTTCTACCTATTACAACAGCAGCATTTCCTAATATTCTCCATAATTTAAAATAGAATTCAACCTCCATTCTCCACCCTCACCTGCCACTAGCAGCAAAGTTGAATCATAGCATATAGCTGCATCTGAGTTTGCAAAAAACAGAAGGAAAAACAGAAGCCACCAGAGCTGCACTCTTCCCTGGGATCCTTCCTGCAAGTCTGTAACTGACCTGCCTCAGCACCCATCCTTTCTTCATTCTCTCCCATTATAAAGGTCATACCTTAACCTGTTCGGGGCTGACAGGTTGAGGGTAGTAGTATAGTAGGGAAGACCATTGGTTAAAAATTGTCAGTCCCAGGCATCAAGAGGGGAAAGAGGCTCAGAACCCCAAGAGCCAACTGTTGTATAGCGATACAAATCCCATGGGAAATGTTTAGCCTGTGCACCCTTGCTGAGGACTTCAAGAAGTTTTGTCAAGTTTTAAACCTGCTCTTTGCAGCTCTGGACCCATTTGATGCTAATCCCACCACTTGTGCCCTGGATCCCATTTCTCCTCACACTCTCTGAGAATTGGATTGATCCATTCTCATATCCTTATCCTCTACTGACTCCCTCACAGATGAAGCATGCTCACACCTCTCCCATCTTAGAAAATCCTTTTCCACATTCTATCTACTACCCTATCATCTCTTCTTCAGGGCAAAATTCCCTCCCTCCCTTCCACTCTTCCACGAGATTTGTTGAACTTGTATGTACCAGACACTATCAGAAATTCTCTGCTTTACATCAATGAACAAATAAAGATTCCTGCTCACAGAGGCTTTCCATCTAGCCAGAGAAGCAAGACTAAATCACAAGCAAAGTGAAATATAGTGTATGTAAACAAGTGTATAAAGAATTAAGAAGTAGAGCGGGATAGAGGGGAATGAGAGTGCTGAAGAAGCAAATTGCAATGTTAAATAGGTGCTCAGGTGGATTTTATAGAGGAGATGTAGAAGCAGACTGAAAGGAGGTAAGGAGAAGAGCCTTGTGGGGATCTTCAGAACATTACGGTCATCGGATAGGACCAGTGCTTCAGCTCTGCAACAGGAGGGTGCCTGCCATGTTTGATGAGTACTAGAGTCTCATTTGGGTGGAATAACCAAGAGGGAGAGTAGTAGACATTAGATTAGAGAAGTAACATTGGATCTTGGGACTATTATGATGATGTTTTAATCCAGAGAATCAGGGTGCCATTCTACACTTTCAACATATACTTATTGTAACATTGTTTACAATTATTCTGAACTGGAAACAGCAAAAAACACCCATCAATGTTTTGGAGGGTATATTGACACAGTGGAATACCATGCAGCAATGGATATTAACAAACTACACCTACTCACAATAATGTGAATGAATTCCAGCAGCATAGTTTTCATAGGGTTTCTTCATATTGCCTTCAGAGAATCAACCAGCGTTCTCAGTAGACAGAGGGTTCTATAATACTGTAATCTGATACTGTGATTATTTAAACTGACATCATCCCTCACCTCAGAGGTTTAAATTTTCTGTGGGTCCACTTGGGTAAGTGTTTCCATGGTTTGGTCTGACAAGCCTACACTGGTCCATGAGAACTCCGCAGATGATTCAAGGGGCAGAGGTTGTCATGAATGAATTTTAAATATAGGACCTTGGGATGGGAGCACTTTCCTACCATGTATGAGGGCTGAGTTCAATCCCTGGCACCACAAAAAATAAAATAAAAAAATATAGGACCTGTAAGTGAATAGTGCAATACTGGACCAAGGTGTGACCCTAGCATCCCTGGGATGTTAGAAGCCAGGACCAAACCTGGGACTTCCAGATGCCTAACCAGATATTCAGGCCCAAGCAGTTAGAGTTACAGTGGGAAGGGGAGTAGAAGGGTCTGCAGGAATCTGAAACCCACAGAACAATAAGATTAGCGTAGGCTCTGGCTGATACCCCAGCTCACACCTAGCACCTAGCTTGTTGCTGATGATCATGGTTATTTCCACTGCCGCTCAAAGTATTTGGCCCTACAATGTAGTAGCATCTGCATTTGCACTCATCCAGGTTGAAGTTTCCAGCCGCTTCCTCCATTGTTGACAATCGAGCACTTTGCTTAAGCAACCCAACCTTTCTCTTTCCTTCTGTTCTGAGTACATTCCTTGCACTCTCTTCTTGAGGGGACCTCGAGTTCTTGAGGCTTTTACTTGTTATTGTTGGAAATAGACTAGGAGCAGCAAAGATACAAGGACCATTACAATATTTCTGGCAAGAGGTCACAGTGGCAGCCCTGCAAAGGAAAGAAATGGCCATATGCTGGATATATTTTGAAAGTAGAATCAATAGGATTTAGAATGAGAGAAAATGAAGAATCAAAAACTTATAAGGAGAATGAGAGAAAATGAATCAAAAATTATCTCAAGACTGGTAGAGTAGTTCAAGGGGTACAGCATCTGCCTAACAAACATGAGGCCCTGAGTTCAAGCCCCAGTACCACAAAAAAAAGGCACAAACTTTGTCCTGAGCAATGAGAAAGACTGGATTCAAGGCTCAGGGGTAGGGGTGAAGTATTAGGTTTGGAAGATGACAGTAACTCAGCCTTGCAAATTTTGAGACAGGGTCTTGCTCTGTTGCCCAGGCTGGCCTCAAACTCACCATCTTCTTCCATCAGGCTCCCAGCTGCTGAGATTTACAGGTGGGCACAACCACATCAGCTTCATGTTACTAAATTTAAAGGAAATTTCCTGCCTCATTTGACTTTAGCTCTGTATTTACCACTAGGAATCACTGTGGTCTTCTTATACCCTATTATTAAATGACTTCATTTGCTCTTTCTCTCTCTCTCTCTCTCTCTCTCTCTCTCTCTCTCTACCAGGTATCCCCAAATTCATTTCTAGTACAGTCCTTTCGACTGAATTTCAGATCTATGTATATACCATTACATTTTTGTCATCTCCATGTGAATTTTTAAGTAGCAAACCAAATACAGGCTGGTCTCTGTAGCTCAGTGAATGATGTCACCAATCCAGTAACTCAAGCTAGAAAATATAGGAACCATTCTTAAGTTTTCCTTCGGATTCTCCCTCACATTCAAGCATGTCCTCTCTATTGTATCCTAATAGCTCTTAAATCATCACCTTTACCCCAACTGCCACCATTCTGGTGCAATCTAATAACATATTTCAACTTCCTGTGCAATCCATGATCCCTGTAGACCAAATGAACTTCTTAAACTGCAAATGTGATCATGTTTTGTACATACGTGTGTGTGTGTTAGTTATGGGGTTAAGTCAAATAAAAAGGAATTTTCTGTCTCAACCAAATATTTTTAAAGTAATCTAGTTTCAGTTATAGCTGTCGATCCAGAACTCAAACTATACTCTGTCACCAAGCTTCATCTCACAGCTGTCTTCTCTGTGTGTCACCATAACATAGCTGAAGCAGTTTCTAAGGATCATATGGTCACACTAACAAATGCAGCAAAAGGGACACTTTCTTAGACACTCCAGCAATGGCTTATTGTGTGTTACTTACTTGCCCCTTAACTAAGTGAACAAAGGGATCAGACATGCCAAATGATCTGGGCCAATGCCAGGTTAACTCCACACAATTACATTGGTTGAAAGAAGGGACAGAATGAAGAGAAGAGTAAATGAATGAGTAAACATTTTCAGTGACTTAAAGCCCCTTCTTTAACTCCCAATTGCTCTTCACACAAAGGTGGCTCTCCTTTGCAGGGCTTATAATATTCTGCATGATGTAGGCTCTGCTGACACTGCAGGCTCATCTTTCCCAATCATTCTTTCCTATTTGAAGGTCTATTTATGGATCTCAGTTCAATTTCTCAACTGAGCCTTTTCCTCTTTACCTTTTAGCATATGTCATTTTTCATATTTAATCATACTAAATTTAGGTCCTATAGTGGTTAATTTTATATTTCAATTTGGCTACATCATGGTGCTCAGATATGTGATCAAACATTATTCTGGATGATCCTGTGAGTTGAGATGGGATCACCATCTTAATTGGTGGCTTGCGTTTTATTCTATTTGGGTGTTTTACCTGCCAGTAGACTGCCTTCAAACTTGAGCTGCAACATTGGCTCTTTCTCTTCTCCAAGCTGTTAGGCTAGCCTGTAGATCTTGCACTTGCCAATCTCTATAATCACATGCGCCAATATCTTAAAACAACCCTTTTTCTATTTGTCTGCACATCCTAATTGGTTCTGTTTCTCTGGACAGCCATGACTAATGCAAAAGTAAAGATAAGTTGTCTACAAAGTCCCCATTAGTA